ACTTGTTTCTAGCCAGCTTTTCTAACTTAAATTACCCTATTTCTCTTTAACTACATTTTTGCCTCTGGGCTTTTACCTTCCTTTATTCGATGCATCTTTTTTCCTTCTCACTCCCTGCATGGCAGTGTGGCTGTGTGGCTGTGTGGCTGTGTGGCAGTGTGGCTGTGTGGCTGTGTGGCTGTGTGGCAGTGTGACTGTGTGGCTGTGTGGCTGTGTGGCTGTGTGGCAGTGTGGCTGTGTGACTGGCCCCTGGTGTCCTCTCCTCCTTTTCTTGCTCCTTCCTCCTTCCTCTCTTCCCTAGATTTCTCCTCCTATGTATTCTCTCTGCCTGCCAGCCCTGCCTATCCCTCTCCTGCCTTGCTATTGGCTGTTCAGCTCTTTATTAGACCAGTCAGGTGTTTTAGACAGGCACAGTAACACAGCTTCACAGAGTTAAACAAACGCAACATAAAAGAATGCAACACATCTTTGCATCATTAAACAAATGTTCCACAGCATAAACGAATGTAACACATCTTAAAATAATATTCCACAACACCCAGGGCCTTTGCACCTGCTGTTCCCCCTGCCAGTAGATTCTTCTCCCTCCTTCCAGAGTCTTCTACCCTTCAAGCCCTTTCCTGGGGACATCCTCTATCATCTTCTTCCACCCAGTCTTCTACTTGTCCTGGTCATTGTTGTATCCTTTTTATTTAATGAGACGTAATTCACATATCATAAAATTCACCACTTAAAACTGTAACACACGGGATTTAGTATAGTTGTGAAGCTGGACAGCCGTCACTGCTAATTCCAGAACATTTTCTTCCTGAACAGAAACCCTGAACCTGTTGGCAATCATTCTTCTCCTTGTTCCCCAGGCAACCTCTAATCTACACCTAGCCCAGTGGGTCTCCCGACTTTGGGTCTGGTTTCTTCTTAGCACCGTGCCTTTGCGGTTCACCATTGCTCCATCATCTTCAAGGCTGAATACTACTCTGCAGCATGGACATACCACATTTAGTTGTCTCATGCAGAGTTGTTTCTGCTCCATGACTGTTATGAGCAGTGCTGCCGTGAGCCATGGTGTGCCTGCTTATGTGTGAACATGTTTGTATTTCTTGGGGCTAAGTTGCTTCATAGTGTAGTATGCTTAACTGTTAAGGAACTGCCAGGCTGGTTTCTAAAGCAGCTGCGCCCCCATACATCCGTGTGTTCCAGTTTCTTTCTTATTTATTTATTTATTTATTTATTTATTTATTTATTTATTGTCTCTCTGTCTGTCCGTCCGTCCATCCATCTATTATTTTTATTTTATTTTATTTTTTGGTTTTTTGAGACAGGGTTTCTCTGTGTAGTCTTGGCTATCGTGGAACTCACTCTGTAGACCAGGCTGGCCTTGAACTCACAGAGATGCGCCTGCCTCTGCCTCCTGAGTGCTGGGATTAAAGGTGTGCGCCACCACTGCCCGGCATGTTTCAGTTTCTACACATCCTTGCAAACTCTTGTTTTCCATTTAACTTAAAAAAAAAAAATACGGGGCTGGAGAGATGGCTCAGAGGTTAAGAGCAGTCGGTACTGCTCTTCCAAAGGTCCTGAGTTCAATTCCCAGCAACCACATGGTGGCTCATAACCATCTGTAACGAGATCTGGTGCCCTCTTCTGTGTACATAATAAATAAATAAATAAATAAATAAATAAATAAATAAATAAATAAATCTTTAAAAAAAATACTGCAGCCATTAGAGTGGGTACAAAATAGTTTCTTGTTGTGATTGTGTTTACCTGGTAACCAGGGAAATGCCCACTGATCATTTTGGCATCTTCTTTGGGGGAACATCCCATTCAAATCCTTGGTACATTTGAATAGTTGTTGGTTTTTTTTTGAAATAGAGTCTTCATCAAAGCTTGTCTCAAACTCATGATTCTCCTGTCTCAGCCTCTAGAATGCTGGAATTTCAGGCCTGGGACCATGTCTAGCTCATTTTCAAATATATATATTTATCTGCAGTGTTGGGGATTGAACTTCAGCTTTGTGAATGGTAGACATACACTGCACTACTGAGCCACGTGCCCAGCCTTTGTTTATTTGAGACTGTTTCATTCTGTAGACCAGGCTAGCTTTAAACTCACAGAGATCTGCCAGTCTCTGCCTCCCGGGTGCTGGGATTCCAGGTGTGTACCACCGCTGCCTGGGCTTCAGCTCATGCATCTTTTAACTAGGCAGTTTCTTCTCTGTGGCTGAACTGTGTGTCTTTTGTTCACTCCCTGATGGGTTTGGGAGCCGTCTGCCCAGTTCTCTGCTCTGTCTCCAGTATCCAGGCCAGTGTCTGCCTTGTAGTCAATGTTTGGTGAGTGAGAGAATGAACTATAGTGAGAGGGTAGTTAAGACAATACACTCATCGGCTTTCGTTCACTGACTGAATCACTGTCATTCATTCATACACTGGTCACTCATTTACTCATTCACTCACCCATTTCTTCACTCTCTCATTCACTGGAATCTGAGGGGAAAGAATCTAAGTACACCGGGTTCTTTTGTCTGTTTACTTTATTCCTCTGAGATTAAATTCTGTCTACACGGCTTTGTTTTTATTCTTATACATTGCTCCTCTCTGTCCCTTCTCTTCCTGAGTTCTCTCTCTGCGTGGCTTCAGTTCTGTGCTCACACTCAGCTTCTCCCTGTCCCTTCTCCTCCTGTCCTCTTGTAGCTCTGACTAATCTCTTCTGCTGTCAATCTCATCTTCGTCCTCAGTTCCTCCATCCATGCTCGTTTCTTCCTTTCCTACTCCCCTGACCCAACCCAATCCCTACCATCTGCAAAAACTCTGCCTTATGCTTTCTTCTCTGACCCCGGGACTCTGATCTGAGCTAGGAATTCTGCCTCAATCCTCCTTTACCTGGTATGCCAAAAAACACTTTTTTTTTTTTTCCTGTCCTGAGTCAATTGCTCTGGAATGCCATTTGGCCCTTTGGGGGAAGGAGGGTCTGAGCTTCGTTTGCACAAGAAACAAAGCTATACATCTACATATCCACTTGTCTCTCAGGCCTAGGAGACAGGCCTGTAGGGATGTTACCTAGTTAAGATCAGCAGTAGGTCTGAGAACCTTATTCTGTTTGCTGTTATGGCCTAGGAGTATACGAGCACACAAGAAATTGATAGCAGGAAACAGCTGATATATTAAAAGCTGAGTAACAGCCGGGCGGTGGTGGCGCACGCCTTTAATCCCAGCACTCGGGAGGCAGAGCCAGGCGGATCTCTGTGAGTTCGAGGCCAGCCTGGGCTACCACGTGAGTCCCAGGAAAGGCGCAAAGCTACACAGAGAAACCCTGTCTCGAAAAACCAAAAAAAAAAAAAAAAAAAAAAAAAAAAAAAAAAAAAAAAAGCTGAGTAACATCAAGTATTCCTTGATATTTGACTTCTCCTCCAGAAGTATTCCTTGTTCCTTCCAGGTATAGCTTTACCATACACAGCGGAATCTCTATTTCATATTCTCATACCCTGCAGCACACTCACTCACTCATTTGTGCATGCACTCGGTCACTCATTCATTACTTAGCAGGTAGGTATCTGGGCTTTCTGCATCCTGTGGTTCTGGACCTTCTAGGGGCTTGGGGACCTCCCAGGGGCCTCCTTAGCTCACAGTGCCTCCCATAGGAGGTGGCAGATGAGATGTGACTTCCCATGGAAGCCGAACGCGAGGCACTGGGAGTCTGTGTGGTAGTTAGTATTTGTAGTAGTACTACTGTTGTAGCATTTGAAGCCAGTAGCTGGTCCTGAGCTCACAGCGGTTGGGGTGGGGATAGGCAGAGCCCATGTGGAAGACAGAGACTCCTGTGTCCCTGTCTACTGTGTATTTTTTTTCTTTTTAAGCTAAAAGGAAGCTATCCACAGAGACTGACCCTTGTATTCCTTTCCTGACTTTAATCTCTTTGCCTGGAGAAGCCCCATCTCCCCATTAGGACTGTCTCATTAGGGAGAAAGCTTGTTTTAAAGACTGCTCCCTGGCGCTAGAGAGATGGCTCAGCTGTTAGGGTGCCTCCTGCTCTTACGGGGACCTAGTTAGGTTCGCAGCACCCATCTTGGACTGCTCACAACTGCCTGTAATTCCAGTTCCCGGGGATCTGATATATTCTTCTGGCCTCTCCAGGCCTCGCACATGCACACACACACGCACACACACACACAAACACGCCAAGGCGGGGTCAAACACAGTGTGGCTGCCGTGGGCTGTGGTAGGATCCTGCCTTTCTCGGGGGTCTGCAAGCACCTTACATTGTTCTTTCCCAGGGAACCCTGACTTTGGATAGCACAGACATAACCTTTGTGGGCAGGTGAGGCGGCCCACATCCTTGGCCTTCCCCTGGCCATGGGCCTGGCTCTTGCCACGGAGGACTCTCAGGTTTAGATCCATCGAAGGGAGGGATGAAGCCTGTGTCCTGCCAACCTGTCACCGACACTGCTCTCTTCCTGTGGGCAGGAGAGGAAATGTGACATGACCCAAGCCCAGACTGGCTCCGAGAACTCTGCCCTTCTGCTGGGTGCTGGAAGCTTCCTGCCACAGGGAATCGCCCACGCAGTAGCCCCTGCCTGGGCCCCAGCCTCCACCCTTACCTTTTCCATTCTCTACACAGAGGCTAATAGGTCTACAGAACTTCACCAGGCCGGTCATCCTCAGCACACACCCGCTCAGGAACCCCACCTCAGACAGAGACAAAGCCACAGTCCTACTACCCACATGACCATAGGCTCTCACCCAGAACCTCTCTGGCTCTGGCTACAGCTACATATACTTGTCCTTACTCTGTTGGCCCACGCACACCTGCCCCCATACTGTCCTTTGAGTCCATAGCACCAACCCCAAGGCCTTTGCTCATGCTGTTCCTCTTGCTGGGAAGCTTTTCTCTTGGAAGAAAACCTCCAGCTGTCTGTCAAGTACCTCCTCTGACTTCCCCATGGCCGGGACTCTCTGTCCCTCTCTTGCTTTATCACGTGGTGCTAAGTGCTGTGGTTTCTGCAGGCGACCCGGCGAGCCTCCCCTGGACCTGGGCAGCATCCCCTGGCTGGGCCATGCCTTGGAGTTTGGGAGAGATGCTGCCAGCTTCCTTACCAGGATGAAGGAGAAGCATGGCGACATATTTACCGTGAGTATCTCTAGGGAAGGGGTGAGTGGCTGGTTTATCACTGGGGCCGCTGACTCCTGCACTGACCCATCCATCTGTCACCCATCAGGGAGGCTGACTGTCTGTCGTCTGTCCAACTGTACATACCATGTATCGTCATCAGCAGAGTGCAGTGCTCTAAGGCTTTCTAGAACCACCCTCACAGGCACACCCAGGGATGGACTTCTGTCTAAGGTGCTTCTCAATGCAACCGGATTGGGAATTAAGATTAAATATTACACTTCCACCCATCCATTTATCCATCTTTCTGTATACCCACCCAATATGTCTGTCTGTTATCTCTCATCTACCTGTCTATCTGTCTGTCTGTCTATCTAGTCTATCTTTTTCAGATTAATTTTTATTTATGTATACATCTCTGTGTGTGTGTGTGTGTGTGTGTGTGTGTGTGTGTGTGTATGTGTGTGTGTGTGTGTGTGTGCGCGCGTGCGTGTGCGTGTGTGTGTGTGTTTATGACATCTGTTTGGATGACTGCAAAGACCAGAGGAAAGTATTGGATCTTCTGGAGCTGGAGTAACAGATGGTTGTGAGTCACCATGTGGGTTCTGGAATTTGAACTCAGGTCCTCTGTAAGAGCAGCCAGTGCTCTTAACTGCTCTCCAGCCTCTGTCTACCTATCAGAATTCACCCACCATCCTTCCACTTGTTCAACACCCACCCAGCATCCATCTCTAGATTCCATTTCCACTGACTTCTCTCCGTTCATCTCCCCACCTTTCTCTCCATCAACCACAGCCCGCCCAGTGCTCACCATCTATCTGTTCAGCACCTGACTCTGGTCTACTCTCTGCAAATGTACTTTTGTATTTTATCCATCCATCCACCCACCTACCTGCCCACCTACTCACCCACTCATCCATCTGTCTACCTACCCACCATCCACCCATCCATGTATCCACCATCCATGCATCCCTATATCTACCTACCCACTATCCACCCATGCATGCATCCACCATCCATGCATCCCTATATCTACCTACCCACTATCCACCCATGCATGCATCCACCCACCTATCCACCCATTCATCTACCTATCCATCCACCCATCTATGCATCCATGCATCCACCCACCCACCCACCTATGCATCCATACATCCACCCTTCCACTCATCCATCCATCCATGCACCCACCCACCCACCTATGCATCCATACATCCACCCATCCACTCATCCATCCATCCATGCACCCATCCACCCACCTATGCATCCATACATCCACCCATTCACCTACCTGCTCACTCATCATCTCTCTGTCTTTTCAAACACCCCTCATTCTTGAATGAGTCCACCTCTTGGTCCTCCAGCATTCATCCTTCAGGCTTTTGTTTGATCTACTTAGCATCTTGTCACCCATGTCCCCAACATTCTAACATGCATTCTAACATGCATTCACCTAACAGATTTGTCGATCTGTCCTGTTCCCCATTGTCCTGACCGCTCTCCACCTAACACCCCCTTTCTTACATTCCTCTTGCATTCCTGTTTTTCATCTACCCATCCGTTTTTTCTTCAGTTCATTTCTCCTTCCTCTCTCTATCAGCCCAACTCATCTACAGCCACCGCTAGTGCTTACCCATCCACCTACCCACACTTGCATTCATCTGCTCCCTAGCCACCTACCCACCCACTCGTCTACAGTTAGTCTGCTGGCATTTACCCAGCAATGCTCATCCATCCGCTCACCCTTTCCCTTTCTGTGGTCCTGGGGGTTGAACTCAGGACCTCATGCATGCTAGGCAAATACCATACCATTTTTCATTTTCGTACCACAGCCTCCTTCTCCCTCCTCATTTGGAAACAGGGTCTTACAGTTACCTGGGTTGGACTTGAACTCACCCAATCCAGTCAGGCCTTGAACTTGGGATCCTCCTGCCTCAGCCTCTTGAGTAGCTGTGATTATGGGCCTGACTACAACCTCTGCTTTTAGAAGACTTTGGCTGATCTTAGCTCTGCTGCTTTTCAGCATCGAGATCTTGGGCATGGTGTCCCTTCTCCCAGCCTAGATGGGTGAGTGGCAGTCCCCAGCTCACAGGATTGGTGGGACAAACAAGAGTGCTGCTGCCCGGTGCCTGTCGGCTGGTGCCTGCCCACACACACCTGAATGCAGAGTGCTGCTGCCCGGTGCCTGTCGGCTGGTGCCTGCCCACAGATGCCTGACTGCAGAGTGCTGCCATCTTTCCCATCCACTGACTCCTCCAACAGGTGCTGGTGGGAGGCAGGTACGTCACTGTCCTCCTGGACCCACACTCCTATGACACGGTGGTCTGGGAGCAGCGCACACGGCTGGACTTCCACCCCTATGCCATCTTCCTCATGGAGAGGATTTTTGATCTGCAGCTTCCAAATTTCAACCCCAGCGAGGAGAAGGCCAGGATGAAGCCGTGAGTAGAGATGGGCCTGTGGGCGGGCCTGGGCGGGGCTTCAACCCCACCTCTCCGGTGGGTTGTGCTTGGTCCCTGTCTTAGCCAGGGTTACTATCGCTGTGATGAAGCATCATGACCGAAGCAGCTTGGGGAGGAAAGGGTTTATTTGGCTTACCCTTACACAGCATAGTCTCCACGTTGTAGTTCATCACTGAGGGAGGTCAGGACAGGAACTCAGACAAGGCAGGAGCCTGGAGACAGGAGCTGATGCAGAGGCCATGGAGGGGTGCTGCTTACTGGCTTGCTCCTCGTGGCTTGCTCAGCCTGCTTTCTTATACAACCCAGGACCACCAGCCCAGGGATGGTACCACCCACAATGGGCTGGGCCCTCCCCCATCAATCACTGATTAAGAAAATGTCCTACAGGCTTGCCTACAGTCAGATCGTGTGGAGGCATTTTCTCAGTTGAGGCCCCCTCCTCTCAAATAACTCTAGCTGGTGTCAAGTTGACATAAACTAGCCGCACAACCCTGAAGCCACCGTCCAGGAGAGACAGTTGAGAACAAAGGGCAGCTGCAGTCACCATCTGGCCCACACCTGCCGGTTCTTGTCACCACCGCTAGGTTCCACACGTGGCACCACTCCCAGACACTCCAGTCACTGGCTGCCAGTTGTGACTTAGATGGAGCCTTACATGTAGAGACCTCTCACCCTTGCTGTGGGCAGCAGCTTCCCGGCTCTGCTCAGCACGAAGGAGACCCAATACCTCCCTCACTCCCGCCGCGTGCTCCCCTAGACTGTGCCATTCGGGTCCGCACGAGGAGACCAGGTCGGTAGCCCAGGCTCTCTTTGTCTCATGCCCATCCATGTGAAATTGTTGTAGTAGCAGCCTCTGCTGGATTTCACAGAGGAAGAGCTGGCTTCCTAGGCCCCCCCTTGTCCAGAAGCCTGTGGGAAGCCCGCGGGTCCCTTGTCCAAATTTGTGCACCAGGCAAGGACAGACTGCCCTGGCCAAGAGCTTGGAACATGGAGTGGGGCCGACTAGGGTTTAGCCCTAGTTTTGCCACTCCCTGGCTGTGTGGCCTGGTCCTGATGCTGTCCGTCACGCCCGAGTTTCTCCACTGTGAAACAGTGTCTCGGTGGTGACTGCCGTTCCTTTGACACAGTCTTTTGTCTGAGTACATTAAGTGGCGAGTAGCTAACTTCTGTCACTGGTCTCAGCATGCTGATGCACAGAGACCTGCAGGCGCTCACGGAAGCCATGTACACCAACCTCGGCACAGTCCTGCTGGGTGACTCCACAGAGGCAGCCAGTGGCTGGCACGAGACAGGCCTCCTCGACTTCGCCTACAGCTCCCTGCTCAGGTGAGCCCACAACCTTGTCACGGCCAAGGGAACTGGGGGTACCCTGTAGGCGAGGACACCATGGGAGAGGCTCACAGCAGAACGGGAGAGGGAGGTGGTTCAGGTGGGACCCCAAATGCACCTCACACCACCTGAGCGGTAAAGCAGACACTACTAGCTGCAGAAGGGTCCCCAGCATCCCCTGGAGCAGGAGTCGCCTAGTCGGGCTTCCCAGAGCCTCTGTGCTTGGGTTTAGACTCTGCCTGTCAGAGGCTAGCAGAGAGGATGCTTGGGGAGCCCAGGGAGCTTGCCCTGAGGCCAGACCGCACGACTGTAGTCAAAACAGTGCAGCCAAGTTCAACTCCTTCAGCTGTGCTGGGTCCTCAATGGTCCCACGGGACATAGCAGGGGACACAGCAGATGAGTTCCTTATGCCTGAGAAGGCGCAGATCCAAGGACAGGACATGGGTGTGTGTGTGTGTGTGTGTGTGTGTGTGTGTGTGTGTGTGTGTGTGTGTGCGTGTGTGTGTGTGCTTGCAGCCTCAATGATGAGGTCTAACTGGGGCTGAGGGGCGCCTGCTGTGCCAAGACCCTGGTGAGGAGACAGAGAGTGCAAAGATCCTGAGGTAGGAAGAAGCTGGGTGAAGGGGGTCAGCGCAAAGGGGAGTGGCCAGCACAAAGGGGAGTGGCCAGCGCAAAGGGGAGGGGCCAGCACAAAGTGGAGGGGCCAACGCAAAGTGGGCCAGTGGCAGAGGGGAGAACAGGTGGAGACCCAGAAGCCAGTCTCACAGCCTGGAGGAAGGTTTGGGAATGGTGGCTCAGTCAGGTGGTGGTGGCGATCCTTTAGGGACTTACAAAGGAGCCCTGATGCAATCTCATTTATAAGCTTTATGCTCCCATGTAGGGGACATAAGTAGGTGAGAACCAGGCAGAGGGACCCACTAAGATGTGTGGTCTCCTAGGTGGGTTGCAGTGGAATCCTGTAACTGAGAGAGGGCAAGAACACACGGTTAATAGGGCCTACTGAAGGCTTTTAATGGGTGGGGAGGGTTGAGGGACTATGTGTCTCAATGGTTGGTAGCACCATTAAAAAAAAAAAAAAAAAAAGACATTTTAATTATCCCCAGAAGTTCGGAGCAATGTGTGTGCGTTTTTGATAAAAGGCAGCTGTTTGTTGACACATGTACTTGTGTGCACACAGGTGACATCAAGTCTGGGTGGACAGGATGGGTAAACTCACTTCATGCTCCTTAAGGTGGTAATTTGCAGACTCCACTTGTTAGATGGGGAAACTGAGGCCTGGGGACTCACCTAGAGTCCCCGTCGGGGTCATAGGCAACTGCTCTTGCCACACCTTCAGTGGGGCACCCCTCCCTTCCCGGTTTGAGAGTCTGCACACACAGCAGGGCTATACTGGCTTGGGTTGCTGGGGCTCCCTGTCTAGAGACAGCTGAACCTTGTCTCTGCTGTTTATGGCACCGAGCGCCACCTAGTGGCGTTCTGGATCCACTTCCGCTTGTGAGGGAGCTGACTTACATTCTGGACTATGCCTTCCCCACATCTACCCAGAGTATAATCAGGAAAGGGAGGAAGAGAAACATCTGGGCTGAGGTAGGGGAAGGTTGAGCTTGACCTCTGACCAGAAGTGGGCTTCTTGTTGGCCCCAAGGGCTTGTCTCCAGGGACACAGATACCAGGATGGGCTGGAAGTAGGGTGCATACAGGGGATGTGATGGAGGCCTGGATGGCTCCTGTTAGACGGAATTGTGATAACCTGTCACCAGAGTCCTCAGGAGTGTGTTCTATTTATCTACCTGTCTTTCTAGTCATCCTCCCACCAGCCACCCACGTCCATCGGTCCACTCACCCATTCACCTATCCATCTGTCTATTCACCTTCCTACTCACCATCCATCTACCCATGTATCCACTCACCCATTCACCTCCATTCACCCATTCATCCATCTGTGTATCCACCCACTCACTCACCCACTCACTCACTCATTCCTCCATCAACCTATCTACCCCCACCCCACTGGCCCAACATTCATCACGGCCTACTGCTGCGCACACTGTGTGGGTGAGGTGCAGGGTGGGGACTAGGCATGGTTCTCTATCTCACCCTCTCATTCTGGTTTCCACCATCTTCCTGCTTGGAAAATCCTCTTCTGGGAGACCCATGACTGGGGGAGCTCAGGAAGGTGGGGTGGTGTTCTGTTTCATTCTGCTGCTGTAGTAAAACAGTCTGACTTGAAGCAACTTGGGGAAGAAAGAGTTTATTTCATCTTACATTTCCAGGTCACAGCCCAACACTGAGAGAAGTCAGGGCAGGAACTAAAGACAGGAGCCTGAGGCAGGGCAGGAACTAAAGACAGGAGCCTGAGGCAGGGCAGGAACTAAAGACAGGAGCCTGAGGCAGGGCAGGAACTGCAGACAGGACTCTGACTTGTTTCTGTCACCCCAAGAGCTGGCTACCTGACCCTGTATGGAGTGGAGGCCTCACCACGCACCAATGAAAGCCAAGCCCAGGACCGTGTCCATTCAGCTGATGTCTTCCACACCTTCCGCCAGCTGGATCTGCTGCTCCCCAAACTGGCTCGAGGATCCTTGTCAGTGGGTAAGCACCATGAGGTCACATCAGAAATGGGTGGTGGGCCCTGTCTTAGTTTCTATTGCTGTGAAGAGACACCATGACCACAGCAGCTCTTATGGAGGAAAAACATTGGGGTGGCTTACATTTTCAGAGGTTTAGTCCATTATCATCATGGTATGACATGGTGGTATGCAGGCAGACTTGGTGCTGGAGAAGGAGCTGAGAGTCTTACATCTTACTCGGAGGAAGTGGTCTGTCTCACTGGGTGTGGCTTGAGCATATATGAGACCTCTAACCCACCTCCAGTGACACCCTTCCTCCAACAAGACCACATCTACTCCAACAAGGCCACACCTCCTAATAGTTTTCTTTCAAACCACCACAGGCCCCACGCACAGACTGGATGGTATTTCCCTTAAGAAGCAACAAGAGCCAGGCATAGTGGCGTATGCCTTTCGTCCCAGCACTCGGGAGGCAGAGGCAAGCAGTTCTCTGTCAGTTTGAGGTCAGCCTGGTCTACACAACAAGCTCTAGGACAGGCGAGGCTATGTAGTCAGACCCTGTCTCAAACAACCAAAATTTAAACTAACTAACTAACGTAAAAGAAGCAGTGAGAACCTTGCTGTGATAAAGTATCCAGGGAAAACACTTTAAAGATGGAAAGATGCATTTGGCTCCGGGTTTCAAAGGCTTCAATCCACAGCCACCTGGCTGCATCACTATTGGCCTGTGATGTGGCTCAACATGATGGGCAGGAGTGCTCGGCAGAGGAGGGTGCTTGCCGCGTGGCAGCCAGGAAGTGGAGAGAGCTGGAGGAAGGGTCTGGGGGGAAAGGCACACCCTTCAAAGGCACGTCCTGTGACCTGCTGCTTCCAGGTCCCCTCTTCCACTAGCCCTTTCTGGCTGTGAACTCCCCTGGGCATTAACCCACCCACAAGGCTAGTGTCTTCACAGTCCAGCTCTCTCTCCATAATGCCACCAGCTGGGGACCAAACCTTCAGTACGTGAGCCTGTTGGGGACACATTTCACATTCAGACCATGGTGGTCCGTTTGGATTCGGAGCTCTGGAGGAGACCAAGCCAAGTGCACATGTGATGGGAGCCATGAGGAGGCCAGGACCAGCCGTGTGTGGCTAGAGTTTTCCTGCCTGGCCCACAGTCAGGACAAATCTCTCTCACCTGCCAGTCCCACAGCCACTCAGACCCAACCAAGTAAACACAGAGACTTATATTGGTTACAAACTGTATGGCCATGGCAGGCTTCTTGCTAACTGTTCTTACAGCTTAAATTAATCCATTTCTATTAATCTATACCTTGCCACGTGGCTTGTGGCTTATCAGCATCTTCACATGCTGTTTGTCATCGTGGCGGCTGGCAGTGTCTCTCTGACTCAGCCTTCCACTTCCCAGCTTTATTCTCCTCCTTGTCCCGCCTATACTTCCTGCCTGGCCACTGGCCAATCAGTGATTTATTTATTGACCAATCAGCAACACACTTGACATACAGACCATCCCACAGCAGCCGTGTGTTCTGGCATCTCTGCTCCGCTGGTGGCTTAGAGATAGCCACTTCTCTCTGCCCCCTGCTCTGGTGGCACAGCGCAGCAGAAAGGAGAGGAGAAGACAGACTCTGGGCTCCACCTCCCCATGTTTCTGTGGTCTCACTGTGTCAGGGTTGTCCGAGGCCGTAGCAGCACTGAGGACTTTTGTTCTGAGCGTCAACCAGGCTGAGTGTGGTCACATCTGGGGTACAGCTCAGTGTGTTTGTTTGTTGTTTTTTTGAGATAGGGTTTCTCTGCCTGCCCCCGACTGTCCTGGAACTCACTCTGTAGACCAGACTAGCCTCAAACTCACAGAGATCTGAGTGCCTCTGCCTCCTGAGTGCAGGGATTAAAAGGCGTGCACCACCACCTGGCACATCTTTGTATTTTTAATGTTTTCTTTCTGCTTCCTTTTGCTCTTTTGAAACAGGGTCTCTCTGTAGACAAGGCTGGCCTTAAATTTAGGATCTCCTATCTCAGCCTCCCAAGAGCCAGAATTACAGTGTGCACAGCCATGGAGCAGTTCACACCCCTCCGCTGAAAATGAGGCACCTGCCGTACCCTAGGGCTGCCACCCGTCTTTCTGCTGCTTTGCCAGTCTGCTGGGTAGACGCTGGTGGCTTTCTGTTGTCACTTGCATATCGTCACAGCATTGTCAGAATGCTGTCATCAGTCTTTAAATTCTTGCCAGCCCGGAGGGCAGAAAAGGGCGTCAACACCCTGCTCCTCTCCCCGCCTACCACGCTGAGGCATCATCTGGCTTCTCTGGCCTCTGCATGCCTTTTCTGTGAGCTGGCCACACAGTCATCTTTATAGAGATTGTTCATCGTCTCACGCAGTCCCTGGGGGCTGACATCACAGAAGCCCCTTTGCAGATAGAAAAACTGAGGCTCACACAGATGCACGCATTTGTCATTAGATGCAACAGGTGGGTGGCAGAGTGGGCAACATGCACCCTTTGTCTGACTGCAAAATCCAGCGTGTTAAACACGTGATCCATCCCAGCACCGCTTGCTTCTCCAGAAAACCTTGGCATCTTTTCCACTGTCCCTCCCTCCATGGTTGCCTAGTCCATAACCAATCCATGAAAGGTTATGTTTCCCAATGTGAGCAGCAGGTGGCAGTGCTGGACAGTTGCCCTCAGGTAGAACCAAGTAGTTGATGGACCATGTGAGTGGAGTGTGCACAGAAGACCACCTGGGCAAAGCCCACCAAAATATCAAATGTAGATCTTTTTCTCCTGTGCTCTCTCCCAGGAAATGATCCTCTAGAAATACACACATATGGTGGCAGAGAAAAAGACTCATGGCCACATTGCCTGGGACAGCAGGAGCTAGAACTCACCTGGGCCAGAGTGGGGGCTGATTAAATACATGAGGCATCACGTGAGAGCAGCCCCCAAATCTGTGAAATAGAAGGGGATGAAATCCATGATAGTTGCTGACCAAGGTGCAGGACGTTGGCCAGAACCTTCCACCTCAATCCAGATGTGGCAATGATGTGTTTGGATTCCTGCCTTCGAGGATTTAGATAAGGAAGAGAGAATGAATTTCTACAGCACAACGAGTGTGAACTCTAAGGTTGCTGTCTCCTCCTCTTGCTCCTCCTCCTTTAAACGCACACACACACACACACACACACACACACACACACACACACCACACATACACCACACACATGCACACATACACACACACCACACACACACACACACACACACACACACACCACACATACACCACACACACACATACACCACACATACACCACACACACACATACACCACACATACACCACACACACACACACACATACACACACACACACACACACACACACACACATATATATATATATATATTTGGTCAGAATCTCTTGTAGGTCGGCCTCAAACTCACCTGGTATCCAAGGATGACTTTGAACTTCCAATCCTCCTGCCTCCACTCCTGGGTGCTAGGATCACAGGTATGCGCCCACACTGGGTTTCTCTCAGTGTTCCCTGTACGTATGTGGAGTTCTCCATCTTTTCAAGTATCTTTCAAATATAAATGTATCCATGTTGACAAAATCATACATGTTAAAGGAAAGTTGACCCTCCAGGGCCTCTAGTCTCGAGAGTCTTATGCAGTAACAAATAAGGAGGTGTGTGTTTTATTTGAACCTTTTTTTTTGTTTTTTTATGAAAAGGGGCTTTTAATAGCAGGGGGTGCTTGAGAGGTAATCTTGCTGTGTAGGCCAATACAGCTGGGGACTCCCTGTGTCGCCCAAGCTGGCCTCAAACTGGTGATCCTCTTGCCTCTGCCTCCCGAGTGCAGATGTGTGCCACCACACTCAAGAAGAGTCATATACAGAAAGAATCATGGTGTGATCAAGATTCTAAAGGCCCTGAGGTAACACTCCCAGCTTGTCTCTGCTGGACCATCTCTGAGCTGTGGTGTCCAGGAAAGACACTTGAGCTGCAAGGCTGAAGGCTTCTCTCTGTGGATAAGGAAGTGACTGAGTCCCAGAAATGGTTCAGGCCTCAGTCAGACCCACACAACACAGGCTTCTGCATCTCCCATCTCTGGGTCACCTCCTCTGTCCTTAGAACTGTTCTGGGCACAGGGATGGATGGGGCCAACCATCCTGAGGTGCTTTTTAGTTGTTATAAAAGTCCATAGCTGAAAAAGCTGGGCAGTGGTGGCGCACACTTTTACTCCTAGCACTTGGGAGGCAGAGCCAGGCGGATCTCTGTGAATTCGAGGCCAGCCTGGTCTACAGAGCGAGATCCAGGACAGGCTCCAAAACTACATGGAGAAACCCTGTCTTGAAAAACAAACAAAAACAACAACAACAAACAAACAAACAAAAAGTCCAGAGCTGGAAAAGCGACTTGTGGGTAAAGTGCTTGATGTCAGAGCATGAGGACCTGATTTGGAACCCCGTCACCTAAGTAAAGATTAAGTGTGGTGGCATCTGCCTGTAACCCCAGCACTGGGAGTGGGGTGGATGCACCAGGATCCTTTGGGGTTCGCTGGCTGGCCAATGTGGCTAGAAGGACAAGTTGTAGGTTTAGTAAGAGATCCTATCTCAAAAAAAAAAAAAAAATGTGGAAGGCAGTAGAGAAGTGGTTCTCAACCTGTGGGTCATGACCCCTTTAGGTCAAATGACCCTTTCACAGGGGTCATCAGAAAACACAGATTTTTACATTATGATTCGTAACAGTAGCAAAATGACAGTCATGAAGTAGCAATGAAAATAATTTGATGGCTGGGGGTCACCACCACATGAAGAACTGTATGAAAGGATCGAAGCATTAGGAAGGTTGAGAACCATTGCTCTAGAGAAAGGCTCCCAACATCGATCTCTGGTCTCTACATGCGTACATCCACACAGCATACACATCTGCACATGCGTACACACACACACACACACACACACACACACACACACACACACACACACGGCCACAGTGACTGCACAACAAGAGATTGATGTGTGAGGTTGGGCCTCAGGGACAGCCAGACACTCTGTGGCTGTGTTGAACCCTTTGCCTCTTTTCTGACTCTCTGGTCAGGTGGCTTTGAGGACATCCAGAGCATTGCTGGGGTGATGTCACCTCCTGTCCCTTGGTGATTTTTAAAAATCCCCCATGTTGATATCTCCCGGGGATTCACAGTCAGCCTGGCTGGAGTCTGGGCTCCCAGGACGTGAGGAGCTCTCCAGAACCCCGTACAGTGGGAAACAGGAAGTTTGTGCTTCAGAAGAGCCCATAGGCTTGCTACTTTAAATCTGAAATGTTGCACCACCCAAAATGGTACGGAGAAGTTGAGCCCATTGTCTGGAAATGTTGCCAACTGACTCTAAAAACAGTAAACAGTGGGAGATGGCTCAGTTGGCAGAGTGTTGACCGCACAGGCATGAGGACCCGAGTTCCAGTCCCAGGGCCCACGTAAAGTGGGGTGTGACAGCATGCCCACAGTCCCAGCACTGGGTTTTACTGCTTTTGAAGTCGGTTGGCGGCTTTTCAGTGGGATCCCCTGGGACTTGCTGGCCAGCCAGTGCGCCAGATCCCCAAGCTCCAGGTTCAGTGACAGATACAGTGTCTCTGAAAGAAGCTGGAGAGTGACTGATACTCAGCTTTAACTCCTTATATACATGCATGCATGCCCCCCTCAACACATGCATACTTGTAAGCCTGTGCATGCATGCCCCCTCAACACATGCACACTCATAAGCCTATGCTTGCATGCCCCCCTCAACATGTGCACACTCATAAGCCTATTCATGCATGCCTCCTCAACACATGCACTCTTGTAAGCCTGTGGATGCATGCCTCCTCAACACATGCACTCTTGTAAGCCTGTGGATGCATGCCTTTTCTCCTCAACACATGCACTCTTGTAAGCCTGTGCATACATGCCCCCTCAACATGTGCACATTCATAAGCCAGTGCATGCATGCCCCCTCAATATGTACACACTCATAAGCCTGTGCATGCATGCCCCCTCAGCATGTACACACTCATAAGCCTGTGCATGTATGCATGCCCCCTCAACACGTGCACACTCATAAGCCTGTGCATGCATGCATGCCCCCCTCAACACGTGCACACTCATAAGCCTGTGCATGCATGCATGCCCCCTCAACACGTGCACACTCATAAACCTGTGCATGCATGCATGCCCCCTCAACACGTGCACACACAAGCTCCTGGGACTGAGGCTGCCATGCCTCAGTCTGTTGGGCAGGTCACCTGACATACAGTGAGAGAGCTTCCAGCAACCCCAGGTGGTGCCCAGTTTCCCCAGGGGTAGCTTTGGAGACCAGTGAACCTCATATTTGTGTGTATGCTATGAGGTGGGGTATAAAGATGAGATTAGTTCCTAGGAAAGCATTGCCAGATGATGCCACCCTGGTACAGATGGGCAACCACTGTGGTGTCACCGGCGGATGTGACAGGTGGGACAGCTCACGGTATAGCATTCACATCAACAACCTAGCCTTGCATTGTAGCTCACAGACCACATGCCAGCAGTGTTGTTCCGTGTAGACCCTCAGTGCCTGACTTTGTTTCAAGCACACTGCCCTGTGGGTCACCTCTGTAGGCAGAGGTCCTCTCCTATACCTGCTTCATGTCCAGGCTGGTGTCCTTGAGGCAAAGCTGAGCTTCAGGTATTCTGAGGTGCTTTTACGACCTTCGCCGGCTTCAATGCCAATGTTACAAATGGAGAAGGAGGCTAGGGTGCAGCTCAGTATGTGCAAAGGCCTGAGTTCCATCCCCAGCACCAGGAACTATAGACAGACACATGTGAGTTTCTACAAGAGCACCTGGATCACTGGCTTCTTTAGAAAGCACCGACTCTGCCTGGGTGGATTCACTTGCTCTGCCAGGCCGGGGGGTGTATTGCAGCAGCCTAGAGGTCTCCTCATTATTCAGGTCTACATGGTCTCCTCAGGGTCTCTTCCTTCGCTGACCTTACCTGTCTGCTCTAGAGGAAGTTGAGTGGAGACCCCAGATCTGTGTCCACCAATGGCCAGTGCAGCTCTTTCTGGTATGCTGAGCCCTTGGTCTTGTGTGCATGGTCTGGCCTTGCTCTGGGCTAGGTCCTGAGGAGGGAGACTGTTGCCTGGAGTGTGGTCCTCCTACCCAGCTCCATAGAGCCCACACATTTACCAAATCTTGATTTGGTTTTTGCTATGGAGAGTTCTCTCTTGCAGGGACAGAGCCTTATGTCTTTCTGCTAAGTGACATGGGTCCCAGGCAAGGTGACTCTCACAGAGCTTTACCCCAAGCTTTCCCACCAGTGACACCCAGAACACTTGTGGCTTTGTGCAAAGCTGAGGCTGGGTGGCCCTGGCCCTGGCAATACTCTAAAACCTTTCCCCTCTGTGCTCTGTCCCTGCAGGGGATAAAGACTACGCATGCAGTGTCAAAGGCCGCCTGTGGAAGCTGCTGTCCCCAGCCCAACTGGCCACCAGGGCTGACCGGAGCAGCTGGCTGGAGGGTTACATGAGGCACCTGGAGAAGATGGGGGTGTCGGAGGAGATGCAGGCGCGGGCACTGGTGCTGCAGCTCTGGGCCACACAGGTATGCATGGGTGTGCAGGTGTGGAATTCACGTGAGTGTGCTGGTGTGAGCAGATGAGGGTGTGAGCACACAGCCTGCTGGCCGCTCCCACTCCTTGCTCTTTGTCCCGTCCAGCAGCTTTGTAACCCAGCAGTCTGTATGACAGGCATTGCTTATTTAACATATGGGGAAATGGCAGACTGATAGAAAAGAGGGTCTCATGGAGCCCAGGCTGGCCTCAATCTTGCTATGTAGCCAGGGATGACCTTGAACACGTGATCCTCCTTCCTCCACCTCCTGAATGCTGGGATTATAGGTCTGTGCCACCATGCCTGGTTTATAATGTGCTGGGGTGGATGAGGCCTTGTGCATGCTGGAAAGTTCACATGCAGTTTAATGAACTCCTGGACTTGGGTCTCCAGCCCCTCACACCTTAGATCTTTCCCCCTCTCCTGCTGTGATTTTGTCCCATTTGTGGCTGAGTTGCAGAGAGCCCAGCTCTTTCCCTCTGCTTACGTCAGCACTTCCTCCCATGTAACCACAGCCTGATGCCAAACTAGGAGGCTTAGCCCAGCCCCATGATCGTGGTCTAACCGTGTCCCACGGTCATCCCAGCGATGCCTCTGTCTTTGTTACTTTCCCGTTGCTGTGATGAGACCCTCCAACAAAAGCCAGTTCAGGAAGGGAGGATGTGTTTTAATCACAGTTCCAGGTCACAGTCCATCGCTGTGGGAAAGTCACAGCGGCAGGAGCTTGACATCTAGTCACTTGTGGTCAAAAAGCATAGAACAGAGAACATCGTCTGTGCTCAGCTCCTCTGCCCCCTGACACAGGGCAGGACCCAGCCCAGGAGTGCAGCCACCCAGGGAGTGGTTCCTGCCTTGGTTAAGGCAGGGTTGTCCTCGCAGGCATGCCAGAGGCCTTCTCCCCAGTGATTCTGCATCTCAAGCTGACAACCGAGAAGAGCTATTGCAGTCACTTAACGCTCATCCCAGCCCGGGCCTGCATCAGCACCCAAGCCCTTCTGCCTCTTTAGTTTCCATTCTTCTGGTGTTCTCTGCTTCTCACTGTTTTCCGCGACCTTGGCGTTTTTATTTGCTTTTGTTTTTGAAGTGTGCAGACCAGTGATTCTGAGAATCACTGAAAAGCTCCTGTGAGTGCTTCCAGCAGGTCCTTCTGGGAATGCCTGCATTTCAGCCAGGCTGGGGCAGGGAGCTGAGATCCGGAAACTGCTTAATGGCCAGGGAGGAGAATGTGTGGTAGGAAGCAGGGCTGCGGTTGGAGCTGTCAGGGTGTCACAGCTGGAGGCTCAGGGAGGCCCCTCCAGTAGAGATGTTTGAGCTGTGTCTAGATGTCAAGAAAGCTAGCCTCAGAGATCTGGGAATCTGGAAATATTTCAGGCAGGGGAGACAGCAAGTGCAGTGTTGAAGCCTGCCAGGGCAACGGCAAGGACTTGAATGTGGCGGAAGCCAGGTGAGTAAGCACACCGCAAGAAGAGCAATGGCGTGAGTCTCCTCGGGCGTGAATCTCCTCGGGAGAGGGGGGCCAAGCGAGAGTTCCAGGATTTTCCTTCTTAAAAGAAACTATTCATTTATTTATTTAAGTGTGTGTGTGTGTGTGTGTGTGTGTGTGTGTGTGTGTGTGTGTGTGTACCTGGTACCTAGGAGGCCAGTAGAGGGCAGCAGATCCCATGAAACTGGAGTTATAGATGGTTATGAGCTACCACATGGGTGCTGGGAATTGAACCTAGGTCCTCTGAAGGAACAGTGAACGCTTTTAACCTCTGAGCCATCCCCCCAGCCTTGATTTCTGGGATCTTAAGGTTCCCCTTATGGACAGGACAGGTCACCAGTGAGGAGGCTGTGCTGGCCACTGAGATATTGGAGAATCAGATAGATAAAGGGAACTAAGATGGCAATCAGTGATGTTAGGCATGGAGTAAATGTTGACATAGGAGGAAGGAGCAATCGCTTGGATGCTGTGGGTCTGAGGCCTGGTCACTGCTCTCACCCAGCCCAGCCCCTTGCCTTCTCTAGGCCCCACTTGGCAGCGACTGTCGGACAGGCTGATCTCCCTGGGTGATTCCTCTTCATCGACTGGCGACTTATTTTTAGTTGTCCTCAGAGCTATTAACTGTCCTGCAGGCAAAAGCTGGCAGCGGCAGGCCAGGGTTTAATCAGCAGTTGGCCCTACGCATGCCTGATAACATATTTATGGGCCAAAAGGACAGGGTGCTCCCGAGTGTCCTCAGAGCCCCCTGTGGAAGTGACCTCTGTCCACAGAGTAGGGAGTTGGCCAGGCACTTGAGAGCCAGATCCCAGGGAATGGCCTCCAGCAAGGCTTGGAGTGGGGACAGGTCCTCCCAGCAGAGGGGCCTGGAGGACTCTGAGTCATGACATCCAGGCAGGAGGCTGTATGGTCCAACAACTCTAGACACCAGCTGTGGGGCCTGCCTGGATATGAGGTGGCTTTCATTTTCTAGCAAGTCAGTCACCACACCCTGCAGTGCCTCAGTTTACCCACCCATACAATAGCTATGCAGCTCCTTCCTCAGGGTATGGTGGGACAGTGAAAGGAGCTTTTGACCTGCACCCAGCAGGTAGCAAAGGCTTCCAAAGTGTTTCAACAGAGATCTGTAGAACCAGGCCAGTAACATACACCTGCCATCCCGGCACTTGAGAGGTGGAGGCAGGAGGTCCACAAGTTCAAGGTCACACTCTATGGTGAGTTTGAGGCTAGCCTGGGATACATGAGATCTTGTTTCCAAAAACCAACCAAATGAAACATCAGCAACAGAAATGTATTCAGCCTCCATGTGTATGTGTACGTGGCTTCATTCTAGAAACTGGGTATAGAGTAGTGGGCAGGGCAGATGAAAGTTCTCATCTACAGAGCAAGCTTCCAGCAGGGAAGAGCACAGTTAATGGATGGGTGAGTCTGTGAGGTCATGAGAGAGAACAGTAGAGAGGCACCACTGGACAGGTGACATCTGAGCAGAGACCTGGCGTGAAGGGTGAGCCACCATGGGGGTCTCTGGAATGAGAGTTCCAGGCAGAGAGAACAGGGGCAGAGGCCATGAAGTCTGCGTGAGAGTGATGTATGGAGAGGTAGCAATCTGAGAGCCCCTCAGACCCCTCAGACCCCTCCAATGAGGGAGCTTCGTTCCAAGCAGCAGATGTGGCCTGTTGTGCTTCAGAGGAGAAATGGAGGCCAGGAGACCGCAGTCTCTGGGTCGGAGACTGCGGGGTGGAGAGGGCAGGGGAGAGGTGGCAGGTCCTGGAGTCCCCCATGGTGGGTGCAAGGCTGGGAACCAGTATCAGCAAGTATCCAGTCAGCTTTGGTGTGAGCCCAGGAGGGGGAAAAGGCTGCTAACAGCTGGGGAAGACGGTGGAGGGGCAATCAAGGCAGAAGCTCGGGGTTTGGTCACATGAGATGCTGAGGGTCTAGAGCTCAGGGTAAGGATGTAAGCCAGAGAAAACCTGTGGGACCCAACGGTGGACAGACGGCAGTTAATGCCATTGCACGGGGTATGGGGGGAGAAGAAGGGAGCCAGCCAAGGAGGCATGCGGGCAGTGCCGAGGAGGTGGGGACACCCATACAAACAGTGTTTGGGAGGCAGGTTGAGGAGCCGGAAGAAGCTGCGGAAGTCCAGGAACTGTGGCTGTGGCGGCTATTGCAGATTGGAGACCGCGAGTCACAAGTAATAACTCCGAGTGATATTGAGCTGTCCTGTGGGCCAACGGTCCCATTGAGCGCTTTACAAACATCGTCTGGATTCTCTCCAAGCTGCCTGAAACTGGGGTCCGAGGGCCAGGAGGAGACTGATGGGGGAGGTAACACACACCCCAGCATCCCAAGACCTGGGAGGAGGCAGCTCCTGAAGACCGAGATCGAAGGTCCAGGCTGGGGTGTGTTGGGGGTGGAGGTAGGTGTCTGGAGCTGGGACAGGCTGGCTCCAGTCTCGGGCAACCACTGCCCTGGGGACTCTGGTGATAGAGAGCTGACTAGCTTCTCCACCTCAGGCCAGCCACCTTTCCGCATCCTCTTCCTGCTCCACTACTGCCTCTGCCTTCAGCCTGACCGTGAGACAAGGTTAGACCAGAAAAATTAGACCATAAGCTAGCTGAGGCTAGCTACCTAGGGGAAATCCAGGGTGCACATATGTGCGTACACACACACCGTGCAGTTGGCAGAAGGATGCTAAGGCCATTCATTTGTCTAAATCCAGCTTTCTATTTGATTTCATACCATAACATGGACAATCCTCACGACATGGCAGACCACCATGAAAACCATGCAGGACACTCCTGCAGTGCACCCGTTAAAAACGGAACATCCAGTAGGAAATCCAATCGGGCCCAGGTGTGGTGGCACACACCTTTAATGCCAACACTCTAAGGGTAAAGACAGGTGCATCTATAGGTTTGAGACCAGCCTTAATATTAGAACTAGAGTATCGAGTTCTAAGTTAGCCAGGGCTACATAGAGAGACCCTGCTTTGAAAAACAAAACAAAACAAAACAAAAAAACAGAAAGAAAGAAAGAAAAAAAAGGCCATGGATTTAAAAGAGGGCAAGGAGTGTATGAAAAGAAAGGTTTTGAGGGAGGAAAGAGAAGGGAAGAAATGATGTCATTATAGTATAAGCTCAAAAAAATAAAAGAAAATTAAAAACAACAAAAGAAATTCAAACAGGTTGAATGGATATGTGCATACAAAGAACGTCTGTCTGGGGCTGGGGACATGGCAGGGAGATGAGCCGTTTGTCACGGGCTTGCCATGTAAACACGAAGACCCGAGAACATTCCCAGAACCCATGTTACAAAGAAAAATAAGCCAAGCGTGAAGGCACGTCTGCGATCGCAGCACGGGGACGACGAGACGGCCAGAGAAGGCACACGTCTGCGATCGCAGCACGGGGACGAGACGGCCAGAGAAGGCACACGTCTGCAATCGCAGCACGGGGACGAGACGGCCAGAGAAGGCACACGTCTGCAATCGCAGCACGGGGACGAGACGGCCAGAGAAGGCACGCGTCTGCGATCGCAGCACGGGGACGAGACGGCCAGAGAAGGCACACGTCTGCGATCGCAGCACGGGGACGAGACGGCCAGAGAAGGCACGCGTCTGCGATCGCAGCACGGGGACCAGACGGCCAGAGAAGGCACACATCGCAGCATGGGGGGACGAGACGGCCAGAGAAGGCACACGTCTGCGATCGCAGCATGGGGGGGACGAGACGGCCAGAGAAGGCACACGTCTGCGATCGCAGCTCGCAGCACGGGATGAGACGGCCAGAGAAGGCACGCGTCTGCGATCACAGCACGGGGGGACGAGACGGCCAGAGAAGGCACACGTCTGCGATCACAGCACGGGGGGACGAGACGGCCAGAGAAGGCACGCGTCTGCGATCGCAGCACGGGGACGAGACGGCCAGACCCCCGAAGCTCGCTAGCCAGCCAGCTGTCTTAAAACAGGTGTCGCCTGAGGAATGACAGCAGAGGTTGCCCTCTGACCTCCACATGTGAACACACCTGCATCTGCACCCCCACCCCAACAGAAAGTCAGTCTGTCCCTCAACCTCCCGGCCTCTGTCCCACAGGGGACCTCAGGGCGGGGCCCTGTGTCTCTGTCCCTCACATGACCCCTCTTCAGACACACACAGCAGCTCCCACGAGCCCTGCCCCATACCTTGCAGCCTTCTGCTCGCTCCTGTGTGTCTTTCAGACCCAAAGGAACCGGGTTTTTTTTTTTGTTTTTGTTTTTTTTTTTTTTCGAGACAGGGTTTCTCTGTGTAGCTTTGGAGCCTGTCCTGGAACTCACTCTGTAGCCCAGGCTGGCCTCAAACTCACAGAGATCCGCCTGGCTCTGCCTCCCGAGTGCTGGGATTAAAGGCGTGCGCCACCACCGCCCGGCTGGAACCGGGATTTTTAATTTTTTTTTTAAACAATTTACCACATGTTAGGCCATCATTCTCCTCTCTGGTGTCAGCTTGTCTCCAATTTCGGGGTTCGGTATTAGGAATGCAGTTCCTGTCCTCTGCCCAATGCAGTTATGTTCGTAAGACCTTATTGGGAAAGATGATGTCTACTGATGCTGTTTGAGCCTGTGACTACAGTCACTTTTAGGATAGACAAAACCTCCTTGCAGCTTGAGGTTGCTCTGGATCCGTGTTCGAATCAGTGAAAGGTGAGGAGGAGCCCAGTGAAGATGTTTAGGCAGGTCTGACCCGGGCTTGGAGCACACCATGTCATTGATTTTCCTAGGTGATCTTTTGGGAAGTTTCAATGAATTTTTGTTAAAAAAACTAACAATCTTTATTTAAATGCTTCTCTGCTCATCCTTCGAGAGATTAACCGTAACACAAGAAACATTAAGGAAACTTGGTCTTCTAAACTATAAATAGCTATTGTTATCAGCTAGTTAAACCCGGCAGGCACTCACAGGTCTGTGGATCTGGCTGGTCTAAACTGACCCAGCTGGGGCTGTTTAGCTGGGCCCTGTGTGTCTTTCACCCTAGATCCAAAGGCCCAGTCAAAGCGGGCACGTAAACAAGGTCTCTGAAGGCCAGAGATCTACTATTCATTAATTCCACTTCATGTTATTTGTTGGTCAAAGCAAGTCCATGACTGAGCCCAAGTTCAAGGGCAGGGAGACGTCATCTGCTTCTTCTGTGGAAACTGTAGAGGAACACGGGAAGCCCCAGGCTTGGCCACCCTCTGACATTCCCAGTGTTCTGCCTCGCGGACTTGCTCCTCTTGTACACTTGTTCACATGAGTTACGGAGGCTTCCCTGGGTGACCCCAGACCAGGGCCTTCACATGAGTTACGGAGGCTTCCCTGGGCGACCCCAGACCAGGGGCTTCACTCGATGACGAGACGGCAGGAGTAAGTAGCCTTCACGCAGGTACCAGGCTGAACCAAACAAAGCTCCAAGCACACTTTGGCCACAGTCTGGGGCTGAAGATAACTGGCGATGCCTGGGTCATGAGCCAGCGTGGGAACCAGGCATGCTGAGCGCTGCACTGTAGCTCAGCCTGAGGAGACCTCTTGGTCATTTGGTGAGTGACAGGCTTCTCCTTGTTGCAGGGGAATATGGGTCCCACGGCCTTCTGGCTCCTCCTCTTCCTCCTCAAGAATCCCGAAGCCCTGGAGGCTGTCCACGAAGAACTGAAGCGTGTCGTCTGGCAAGCAGAGCAGCCTGTGTCACAGATGCCCACCCTCCCACAGAAGGTTCTGGACAGCATGCCTGTGCTAGGTAGGATGGCCAAACCTGCTAACCTGGCTACCTCCAAGGGTCCCTCCGTGTCCTCCATGCCCAGTATCACTACCCAAGTCTCCTGGTCTCAAGGGATTCTTAGTGTCAAGTGTTTCTGAAGCACCTGTAATGGGAAAGGGGCTCAATCTGAGTCCTGCAACTGAAAGTCTCTAGCTTCAGGCTCAGGTGGACCCAGGTGCTTGAAAAGTGTTGCCAGGGCTAAGTCTCTCCCCGTCCTTCAGCCTCATTTTCTACTGTGGGTGCTCCTGGTCTATGGAGGCCAGCAGCTGCCGGCAGGGCCTCTCATCCAGCATTCCTATCTAAAGTCCCAGGAATGTGTTCATTGGCTTTTTGGGTTATATGCCTGCCATCCAGAACCCAAACACAGGGCTCAAGGGGGTGAGCTGAGCCCATGAAAGCCCAAACCCGCCAGCTAAGAGTAGGTCAACTGTTCAATTTCTGGAAACAGGGGTGTGGTCCCTAGAGGAAGGTCAGGGGACTATTTCCAGAATGGAATGTACACTGTAGGTAGAAGCAGACACCGAGGCCCTAAACTCTCCCCCTCAGCTGTCTGATATCCCTGTGGCTCCCACTTTCCCATGTCCCCTCACATCCAAGCATTTCTCGGGGACCACAGAGCGCACATTTTGTCACCTGGCTTTTCCCACCTTGCTGTGTGACTGTGTGCAAGGTCTGCAGCCTCTGGCCACTGCTCTGTTTGTCCAGGGGGTGAGAGGGCAGCTTGCTAACCCTTCTTGCCTTGTTCTTGCAGACAGTGTGCTAAATGAGACCCTCCGGCTCACGGCTGCCCCATTCATCACTCGTGAGGTCATGGCAGACCTGGCTTTGCCTATGGCAGATGGGAGGGAATTCTCTCTTCGACGTGGTGACCGCCTCCTCCTCTTTCCTTTCCTGAGTCCCCAAAAGGACCCAGAAATCTACACAGAGCCTGAGGTCAGTAGCAGGGGCAGGACTGAACATCTCAGGGACTGTGGGTGTGGGAGAAATGAGCGGCTGAGGGATCAGCTGGTCCTGAGTGGCAGCCCTGCTGTGATCCTTGCTCCCTCTGCAGCCTGGGAATTGTCATCTCCACAGCCCTTAAAACCAGCCCCTGTCCAGTCACTTCCCATTATGCTCAGTTGTGACAAGTCTGCACGAGATCCCCAGTCCTTTGTCCTGGTGCAGGCTTGTGTGGAGTGACGTCACACATCACCCTCTCGTTTCAGGTGTTTAAATACAACCGATTCTTGAACCCAGATGGGTCAGAGAAGAAGGATTTTTACAAAGATGGGAAACGGCTGAAGAATTACAACATGCCATGGGGAGCAGGGTACAACCAGTGCCTGGGGAAGAGCTATGCCATCAACAGTATCAAACAGTGAGTCCTCGAGGGGCAGTGCGTGGGGGCAGCATGCATGGCCACAGCATGCACGGCCCAGCAGGGAAGGGGCCGGTTGGTGGGGTGTGACCAGGGCAGGACTTGGATGTGGTCCAGGATGTAGTCAAGGTGCAGTGACACTTGATACCTTCACTGCTTTGACTGATGGCCTTAGGCTGATTCCAAACCGGCAGAGACTCAACTCCTGTCCGCAAATCAGTTTATTTGTGTTTTTAAAAATCAGAAGAGTTCTTGGGGAAAAAAAAAAATAAGCCACGTTTCTGATTTCTTACACAATGGTCAGATCTGGCAGGAGTGTTCTCCCTGTGAGGGTGGCGTGGGAACACCAAACGCTGGCTGCTGAGTCCAGCTGTCCGTGGCTGTCCATCTGTGGCTGCCGCAGCAGGTTCAGACCTTTGTGGCAGAAACTGGCTGAACTTCAGGGTCCCCCTCTTGGCTGTTGTAACTCCCGAGAGAGCTGAGCAGCTCTGATGTGCTCCTCCCGGGATTCCCCTGACCCTCAGTTTCCAGGGTCACAGCCCGCCTGGACCAGGGACTGTGCTATCTGCCCACTGCTCCATCCTGGAACCTGTCTCCTCAGCTATAGAATGTAGGTGCTGATTGCAGATCCAAATGGATCAGAATGGAGCTTTCTAAGTGGCCACCCCACCATGTGACTCATCACAGGCTTTGAGAAATGTTAGCTAGTGTCTGTATTATTCACATCATTAACATGCAGGCACCATGCCAGGGGACAGTAAGTCATGTTAACCTTTTGATCACTTTTCTCAGAGTAAAGTGGAAATAACGATGGAGTCACTTCTGCCCTAATGCTTAATGTGCCTTCCCCCAAACTACCTTGTCATGCATAATCAGGCAGTGAAAACAGTGGGTGCCAGGCTTAGGAGCACTTAGAATGCCAGCCATGGGGTAGGCTGAGGCAGGAGGATGGCGAGTTCAAAGCCTGCTTTGGCCACTTCATGAGCTCTTATCTCAAAAGTAAGAATAACAAGATGATTGAGGTTGGGTCTTGATGTGGGGTGCTGGCTAGCACACACGAGACATGAGGCTCCATCCTCAGCATCACAAATTAACCCCCCAAAATAAAACCACAGGTTATAGGCAAAGGGAGCCTGAAGCCTAGCATCTTAAAATGTCATCAGTGACACCTGAGGAAGATTAGAGCCAAGTGGAAGGTGGTCATGCAGTTTTACACATGCTTAAAGAATGCATAAGGGTGGAGAGCAGGCTCAGAAATTGAGTGACTAAGCTACTGCAGAGCACCTGAATTTAGTTCCCAACACCCTAGTTGGGCAGCTCACAACTACCTGTAACTCTTGCTCCAGGGGGTCTGATGCCCTCTTCTGGCCTCTTTGGGTACTGCACTCATGTGCACATACATCTCCCCCTCACACACACACACACACATAATAAAAAATAAAACTTTTTTAAAAGGCACAAAGTCTGATGAACAGGGCGGTCAGCTGATGCTCATGCATGCATGCTTGGCTAGTGCAGGCTCTGCATTCACCGCTGCATCTGGAACGTGAAACAGCATGCGAGCAAATGTGAGGTCGCCTCTGCTCATGTTTGTGCCCTAGCATATCAGTCACACCAGGACAGATTCTCTCATTCAGATTGATAGCTATGACTGAGCTTTGCAGTTCCTGCTTCATCCGGTTTAGGGACAGACAAAAGAGGTGCTGGGTTTTATGTGTTTAGCATGGTACCTGACTCATGGCACTCAACAACTGAGAGAATTTGTTGTGACCTCGGTCATTGTGAGCTCCCTGATAGGAAGCTCTCAGCCAATGGCAGCTGTGATAGCTCCGCCCATTGGGGACACGGGTCGTAAGACCTATCTTAGATAAGCTCTCCCTCCAGAGCTGGAGGAACCAGCTTACCTTCACTCCACAGGAAAACCTTTACTTTGACCCCACAGGAAAACCAAGCCCCCAAGTGGGACAGACCCCGGCGAGGGTCACTTTCCCTTAAGTCCAGTGGGCCAGTTTCCCACAGCTCCTCCACTTGCCAGCTCCTCTTGCAGTGAGAGGAAGAAGTCCTTGCTGTGTGCTCTGCCTGGCTTTGGGCCCCTGAATTGAGGTGGGGGACAGTGATGAGGCACGGGACAACTAGGATCATGTGGACAGTAGTGAGTCACAAGGCAGAGCTTGTCATTGTCATTGAGGCACTGATGGCATCCTAGACATGACAGCTTTATGTGCCTCCAGAAGGTGGTGGTAGAGAGTGCCGCCTTGCAAAGGTGGCCCTTGGTGACAGTTACATGTAAGAAGTCTTGAGGGAGTGGTACTGGCTTTAATTTTACAGGCACTCCTGGTGAGTGTGGCCCTGGCCGGGGCTGACTATGAGATTGCTAAGCTTAGGGAAAGGGGGCGCAGGCTTGTAGAGAGGCTGGAAGAGACAGTCTTGTCACCATGAGCATTGGGATGCACCTGGGACTCAGGACTACCCAGGTGCTGTGGGTGTGGGGTTGGAGACACGTGGCTGGGCCCCCCCCTCTGGCCGCTCCATTATCTGCACGCGATGCTGCAGGCAGGAGAGCTGGGGAACCACACTCTGGCTCTTAGGGCCGTGATGCAGAAATGACAGCCATGGGCACAGCCACTCAGCCTTACTCAGCTCGGCTGTCCTCACCTTACCAGGCTCTGCCAAACCCAGAGACGCACACAGGCTGACACCCTCTTTCCCTACAGGTTTGTGGTCCTCCTACTGACTCACTTCGACCTGCGGCTGGGCAACGAGGACACAGAGGTCCCTGAGTTTGACCTCAGCAGATACGGCTTTGGTCTGATGCAGCCTGAGGAGGACGTGCCCATCCGGTACCGTGTCAGGCTGTGACCTGTGGAGCATACAAGACACTCACCTGGGGTCTCCTGACTTCCCGTGCCTTCCTCACTGGCTCCCTGTTGTTCTAGAATGCTGTGTCTAGAGGAGGGCACATAGAGGGCATGGAGAGCAGGAAAAGCCAATGAAAGCTCTGTATCCCGCTGTGAAGACTTACTTCCAAATCAGGCTGCCTGTGCTCTGGGTTCCCCTATGCCTTCTGTCCTGTGGTACCAGCAGTCCCCACCACCATGCCCCCAACTCCCAGAGCAGTGCTGTCCCTACCTTTAACAGCCGGTGTAGCCCAGGCCTTGGCCAGCGTGGCAGATATAGGTCATGGAGGACCCGTAAGGATTCGTCAGTGTGTTTTAAGTTCTGTCCCCAGATTATTAAAGAGGCATGGCCCTCCCTCTCTTCCCGTGGATGCCTGTCCTCTGTCCTTGATTCACAGACAGTAGGTAGCAGGGCTTTCCTTGTGTTAAGACTGGGATGCAGTGTGACCTGGAAAGACCTGGCCCTGTGAGATGTTTGGAGAGTCAGTCTAGGGAGTCTATCCCTGCATCCCAGCACACAAACCCCTGCTACAGTGTACACAGGCCGGCAGAACAGCTTTGTTCAGCCTGTACTTTAAAAATCAACATAGCCAGGCATGATGGCTCATGCCTTTAGTCCTTGCAAGGCAGAAGCAAGCAGACCTACATGAGTTCCAGGACAACCAGGGCTACACAGAGAAACCCTGTCTCAAAAAAACCAAAAACAACAAAATCAACATAGTAGCCAGGCGTGGTGGTGCACACCTCTAATCTCAGCACTAGGGAGGCAGAGGCAGGAGGATCTCTGTGAGTTCTAGACCAGCCTGGTCTACAGAGCTTTGTCCAGGATAGCCAGAGCTACATAGAAAGATCCGGTCAAACAACACAGTAGATATCATATTATCTGTGGAGGATTCCTGTGGATGCCCTGGCCACACGGGGCCGACAGTCCCAAGAGTAGCTCTGCCTGGGGTCCCCAGCATTCACCTTCCTTGAATGAGGTTTCGGCCAAGTCAGCATTGGTACCCCTAGTCCCTTCTGGTCCCGAAAGCATTGGAGTCTGTGCCCCTGTTCTGACTCTTGGGGGTACTGGTGGATGAAGTGAAGGAACCAGCTAGCTTGTCCTCAGGCCACGCTGCTCACCTGACTCTGGTCACCACAGCCTTTGCCCAAGTCAGTGGTGAAAACTCACCTTTGTGTCAATTTCAGGCTGACTTCAAGGGGACTATGGCTTGCAAACCTCCCTGTAACCGCAAACATGCTCACTGCTATTAGGCCTTGTTTCTCAAGTGTCTTTATTCTTTTTATTTTATTTTATTTTTGAGGCAGGGTCTCTCGGGAACTTACTATGTAGACCAGGCTGACCTTGATCTCACAGAGATCCACCTGCCTCTGCCTCTCAAGTTCTGGGATAAAAGTGTGCGCCACCATACCCAGCATTCCAAGTGCCTTTAAGTGCTGAGACAGACCTCTATTTCCATTCCGCACAGCATCCTGGAGAAGATATGGTGTTATGCCAGCTTTCCAGATGAGAAAACCAGCTCAGAGAGGTTAAGTGACCTGCCTGGGGTCATACAGCTCTTGCCAGTAGAGCTCTGCCCACACACCTTTCCTAGAAGCAGATGTTGGGTGGGCAGTCTGTTCTTCATGCCTCGGGCTCCAGGGGTGGCGGTGGGACACTTCTGTTTGGCATTAGAGAGCTGGCAGCCAGGAACACCCAAACATGGTGCAGCTCATGAGACACAGGCACATCTGTGATGAGGTCCTTTTAACTTTAACTGGAAAGACAGAAGAGGCCCTTGCGCCCATGTGTTCCAGGGGCTCACCTCTCAGAACAGAGCTAGGTCTGGGAGGTTTCCCTGGCCCTGGGTCTCCAGGCACCCTCAGGATTCCCGGATAGACAGTGTGATTGGCAGGAGTCTGGGCATCCCCAGGGAAACCCATCTCCATGCTTGGGTGACCCCCCACTGCTGCCTGCTTCTTATCTGTGCCGGAAATCAGAGCTGGCAAACCTCCTGTGGGAGGATGAGCCAGTTTCCATGGCAACCCCCAGTTGCCTCCTCACGGCTGGAAGGGGAGGAAGAAAGTGGCAGAAATAGCTGCTGAAGGTCTCACAGGCTTCAGTCCTGGTGCGCTAGAGGGAAGCCCTTCAGAGCCCCATCCTAACTGAATCAGACTAGACTGTCCCCAAGGTGCTCACCTCTGCTCAGCCAAGGGCTAGTTCCCTTTAAAGGTGGCGCCTCCTCAGCCGCAATCAGGAGGGGATCGAGTATGGGGAAGAAGGCCAGGCAGCTCCAGTGGGGACCTGAGGAGCTGAAGCAGTGTCATGCATGTCCCCATTTAAATTCCTCCCCCTTTCCATTTCTTTCCTTCTCGATAAGAGGCTGGGAATTTAGCCCATAGCGTCGTTAGCTAGCGTGCACAAAGTCCCGAGTTCATCTCCAGTTCTGCAGAAATTGGGTTATGGTGGTGCACGCCTGGAATCTCAGCAAGGTGGAGGCAGGAGGACCAGGGGTTCAAAAGTCACACTTGGCTATATAGTGAGTTTGAAGTCAGCTTAGGATACACAAGACTGGAGAAAGAGGAAGGGCCGGAGGAGTCGGCAGCTTAGAGAGGAGAGGTGAATTAGCCACCTGCATGGGCAGATCGCACCTCTCCATTCCCGGCTGTACTCAGGGTGGCAAGACGTGTTGCTGTTTTCCGTTTGATCAGATGAGGGGTTCCCCGGCCCTCTCACTGTGTTTCTGCTGTTATTTGCTGTTCATCAAATGTTCTCCTTTAAGCAGATTCACTAGTTTTTCCAGTGCTGGCAGGAGTGGGCCTGTGTCATCCACGCCCCACAGAACCATGAAGAATAAACCAGCCCTGGACAGTGGAGGTCAAGACTCTGGGCCCCAGAGCCTGTGTTCTTGGGTTAGATGAGCCAGTGTGCTGGCTGACTGAGGCCTCACCCATGTCTCTCCTCAAGTTTCTCATTGGTGGACCCACTGTGGGCAAGGGGTCCAAAAGAGGGGTGAAGTGCTCATGGCAGGGGATGGGTGGTAGCCCAGTCTCCGGATAGAGAAGCCTACGCTGAGCATCTATCCCAGACATCAGTTTGGATGCTTTTGTGATTTTTAATAAACACAGCGTCACAGTGTGTTTCATGAGCAGCATAGTGGCTCGGCCTTGCCGTTTCAACACAGCGCTCAAACTTTGTGTCATGCTGTCAGATGGACACGCACTTATTAAAGTGGCCTTGCTCATGAACTGCCTCTGTGTGATTCTGAAGAGGGAGCTTCTGGGTCTGGCGGTGAGGTCGGTTGCTGGGAGGCGGTGAAGAGGAGGTCCCGTCCCATCAGGTCTCACCCTGGGAGCTTGTTCCTTATTGTGAACAGCTGGGGTGAAGGGCGATAAATGGGGGAGCTGGGAGGGAGGGTTAAGAAGAGAGATGGGGAGGGAGGTGGACAGCCGGGAGCACTAGCCAAGGACAGTAGAGAGGAGAGGAGGTAGGAGAAGCCCCAGGCCTGAAGGACACGGAAGTTGAGCTCTCACGAAAATCTATCAGGAGCATCCGCTTGCTAGCCCTGGATCCCTGCGGCTTTGGTTTCTCCTTTTGCTGACTCTCCTTGTGTGTCTTGGAGTTCCCTGGCTCCTTAGAAAGGAAGAGAGATTAGCTGACCTTTAATTGCTCTGCTGGAAGCCTGCACCTTGGTTGTTTCAGTATTTCATCATCTTTTGGCCCCACCCCCTGACCACAGACAGGCTCCCTCTGTGGGGACTTTCTGGTGGCACTCATAGTTCTTTCCCGGAAGAGAACCCAGGAGACCTTGCTGGGGGGGGGGGGGGTCTCACAGAGCACAGTGTGCACAAAGCATTATAATGCACAAAGCCCTAGGCTGTTGTTAGGTGGTGGGTGGGAAGGTTCAAGGATAGATTGGGGTGTGGTGAATGGGTGGATGGATGGGTAGGTGGATAGATGGATGACTGGAGTGATACATGAGTATCTGGAGTGGATGTGTGGTTGGATAAGTGGATTCATAGGTGGATAAATACATTTGTGTGTTGGGGGGAGGATGGATGGATGGATAAATGGTGGATGAGTGTGAAATGGGTGTGTAGGTAGATGGAAGGATAGATGGGTGGGTGAATGACAGAGGGACATTTTTAAAGGTAAGTGGTAGGAAGACAAATGGACAAGAGGTTGGGTGAACGTGGGAAGATGGGACTGATGGAGAGACAGGATTGAGTGGGCAAGTGTGTGGTGGAGAGATGGCTGGGTGGGGCTCAGTCACTGACAACATGGATGAGGGGACGGCGAGGCTAGCGGATGGCGAGGCTAGCGGACAGGCGGCCGACTAAAGATGACATGGAGGAATGAGTGAGTGTCGGATTGGTCAGAAAACGCACTTTGTTCATTTGCAGGAACTTGGGCCAGGAAACCCGGGGTTTGGTAAAGACAAGTGGACTCAGAAAGAAAAAAGCAGGCACTGGAGCCGAGTCTCATGGTGCAGGGCTAGGATCCCAGCTACTCACACAGCTGAGGCAGGAGGATGGCAAGTGTGAGGCCAGCCTGGGCTATGTAGAGGGACTAGACTCGGACACTGGGTCACTCAGGGTCACCCAACAGTTTAATGGTCTCGTTTATATTGTTGTCCTCAGTGCCTGGTGCAAGGAGGAGATAAAAATCTTCAATGGGCAATACACACAGACACGCCCCCCCCCCAACAGTGTCTAATGTATGGTACACGGTCAACCGGTCCTGTCATTATTACTGTGGTTGTTTCCGTGAGTACTGTCAGCATCAAGCGGGATGCATTACCTCATTCACACTCCCAGGATCCCCCAGGTGGAGCCTGTTATAGTCATATATATGAGGTTGATTATGGAGCATGAGGACAAGTCCAGCTGATAGTTGACCCCTGGGGTTGCAGGGGCCCCATGTAACATGCACTCTGCTATGGACTGACGCATCCACGTCCCCTGAGTCTCGGAGGGCCCCTCTGTCCACTCTCAGCAAGCTACTTTTCTTTACCATGGAATTCGTGAACGAAAGTGTGTGCACCTGTGTGTGTGTGCCTGTGCGTGTGTTTGGGGGGGTGTCTTAGTTGGGGTTTCTATTGCTGTGATGAAACACCATGACCAAAAAGCAAGTTGAGGAGGAAAGGGTTTATTTGACTTACACTTCCACATTGCTGTTCATCACTGAAGGAAGTCAGGACAGGAACTCAAGCAGGGCAGGAACCTGGAGGCAGGAGCTGATGCAGAAACCATGGAGGAGTGCTGCTTACTGGCTTGCTCCACATGGCTTGCTCAGCCTGCTTTCTTATACAACCCAGGACCAGGGATGGCGCCACCCACAACAGTCTGGGCCCTCCCCCACTGATCACTAATTGAGAAAATGTCTGAGAGTTGGATCTCATGGAGACCTTCTCTCAACTGAGGCTCCTTCCTCTCTGATGACTCTAGCTTGTGTCAAGTTGACACACAAAACCAGCCAGTACAGGGTGGGGGGCAGGGGGGTACAGTATTAAGTAGCCTTACTCTACCCAGAAACTCCAAGAAACCTGAGCAGGCTTCCCAGTGGGACATAAATGATGGATGGTATCATGGAATCCAGAGAAGGCCAGACTTCGAACAAGGAGCCTCTTGCCAGCACTGTCGGAGGACTGGCAGGGGTGGATCTCGGCTCCTCCCATCGAGATGCCAGGCTGACGCCTCGGCAGACATGTTTTGAGAGAGCAGTGGCCTGGAATCAGACAGTCTGGTGTTAGAACTTGGCTGCACTGGGATGCTGCCCCTCCACAAATGTTGTGGCTTGTCTTTAAATCAGAGGGCTATGCAGGGTCCCTTCGTTATAGAATATTCCAGTTGTAGTTCATTTTCTCTCCCTCCCTCCCTCCCTCCACTGCTTCCTTCCTGATTGTTTATTGGGTTTGTTTGAGACATGATCTCACATAGCCCAGGATGGCCTTGAACTAACTACTTAAGCTAAGATGACTTTGAACTTTTAATTTAATTAACTAATTAAATGTGTATGGGTGATTTGCCTGCATGTATGTCTGTGTACCCCGTGCATGCCTGGTGCCCACAGGGTCGGAAGAGGGCATCAGATCCCCTGGGACTGGGGTTACAGTGGGTTGTGATTTTGATGCTCCTGCCTCCTGAATGGTAGGAATACAGGTGTGAGCCACCATCATGCCAGGTTTCTCCCGGGTTCTCTTATTTTTTTTTAAAGATTTATTTTATTTTTAATTATGTGTGTGTGTGTGCGCGCATGTGTGTGTACACGTGAGTGCAGGTGCCTCAAGGAAGACAGAGGTGTCAGGATCACTAGAGCTGGAGTTAACAGGAGTTTGTAAAGCTGTCCGATTTGGGTGCTGAGCATGGAACTCGGGTCCCCTGCCAGAGCAACCACTGAGCCACCTCTCCAGCCCCCTTTCCTATTTCTTATATGTCTAATTTCTCCCCTAAGCTAAGAAAATATCTGGTCTATGGAGAGAGGACTGCCACTGGTTAAGATCCTTTGGATATGGATGACCGACTGATAGCGGGCAGGACAGAAGGAGTTATTTCACAGCACACATAACTGGGAATCCAGGGATGCTGGCTTCAGGAGTGGCTGGATTCAGGAGCCCTAATGATAGACCCCGTTCAGCTCCACTTTACCCTGTGACAACTTTATTTCCAGGTGGACTCAGCTGTGGAGGACAAGAGGCTTCCCCCCATCTGGTCACCTTACTTTGAATGTTTTCGTGAAGGCTGACGTCTGGCACAGCAGTGGTCTTTTTGCAAGGATCAAGCACCATGCCTAGGAACAGAGAGCCTCTATGTGAGGGAGGCAAAACAAAATGGTGGGAGCGATCCCTCCTAGGCTCCCCAAGCTTCTGCATGGATTAGTTAGGCTTTTTTTTTTTTTTTTTTTTTTTTTTTTGGTTTTTCGAGACAGGGTTTCTCTGTGTAGCTTTGCGCCTTTCCTGGAACTCACTTGGTAGTCCAGGCTGGCCTCGAACTCACAGAGATCCGCCTGGCTCTGCCTCCCGAGTGCTGGGATTAAAGGCGTGCACCACCACCACACGGCTAGTTAGGCATTTTTAAAACAGTTACTTATTCTGTTTTCTATTTGTGTGTGTGGTATGTTTTGTGCGTGTTCACATGTATGTGCATGTGGATGTCAGAGACTGACGCCAGGTGTCTTCTCCAGTCACACTCCACACAGGGTAAAGCAGCGTCTCTCACTGAACCTGGAGCTTCCTGATCCTGCTCGGCCAGATGGCCAGTGAGCTCGCTCCAGGAGTCCCCCGTCTCTGCTTCCCTAGTGCTGGGACTACAAGTGCGCGCTGACTTTCCTGTGCATCCTGGGGATGTGAACTCACTCCTGATTTTCCTGTGCATCCTGGGGATGTGAACTCCTGACTTTCCTGTGCATCCTGGGGATGTGAACTCACTCCTGACTTTCCTGTGCATCCTGGGGATGTGAACTCACTCCTGACTTTCCTGTGCATCCTGGGGATGTGAACTCGGGTCCTCGTGCTTGTGCATGAGCACTTTACTGACAGAGCCTCCTCCTCCACCAGCTAAGCGTTCTGGTTACTTAGGTCGAGCTGGACACAGAAGCCCCTCCCTTAGCAACCCCAAGTTGCCTCAGCGACCTGCAGTTGACCAGACAGAGCCATTAGTGGTAAAGGGCTTTAAAAAGTTCCTCATAGGGTCTGGAAGGATGGCTCAGCGGTTAAGAGCACTGGCAGCTCTTCTGGAGGACCTGGGTTCTACTCCCGGCACCTACAGGGTGGTTCACAAGCATCTGTAACTCCAGCTCAGGGGATCCAATACTCTCTGCGGGCACGCACACGGTGCACAAATATATGTGCAGGCAAAACACCCATACACATTAAATTAAATGAAATTAATTTTTTCTCGGGGCTGGAGAGATGGCTCAGTGGTTAAGAGCACTGGCTGCTCTTCCAGAGGTCCTGAGTTCAAATTCCCAGCAACCACATGGTGGCTCACAACTATCTATAGTGGGATCTGATGCCCTCTTCTGGCATGCAAGTATACATGCAGATAGAGCAGTTGTATACATAAAAATAAATAAATCTTAAAAAAAATATTTCTCATAGACACCCAACATTGACCTCTGTCCTCAACATACATACCCACATATGCACAAATATACATAACAAGAGAATTTTTAAAAATCCCCTTATAGCCAGGAGGTTGTGGCACATGCCTTTAATCCCAGCACTTGGGAGGCAGAGGCAGGCGGATCTCTGTGAGTTTGAGGCCAGCCTGGTGCTACAGAGCGAGTTCCAGGAAAGGCTTCAAAGCTACACAGAGAAACCCTGTCTCGAAAAACAAAAATCAATCAATCAATCAATCAATCCCCTCATAGCCTAATAAAGCAGATGCTCTCTCTATGGCTACTCATCTTAAAGGTGGGAAAGTTACAGTTCAGAGAGGCTAGATCACCCTTCTGTACCAGCCATTCTGCCCAGGAGTCCTCTCTCTTTGCCACGAGGCCACACTGCCACCTGAAGGAACTTTCCACTACTCCTTGTTGAGTGAACATGCAGACACACAGCCACAGGGCTGCATGGGGCCTGACAGAGCCAGCCCCTCTGCATTTTTAGGTGCAAGGGGATCTGCATGCTTCCCCCCTAAGCTGGCAGCTAAACTTTGTAGGTGTGGCAGGGTGACCCAATCACACAGGGTCTTTGGCGATGGCCATGGACTTGCAGAAGAATCTCTGCAGAGGCCTATGGCTAGTGAATTGCCTACCACTTGGTCCAGGGCTCATTACATTTGGTCTGGACAATTGCAGGAGCCTTCTTCTGAGTCTCCTGAGACTACCTTGCATTACTCAGTTCTCCCTGGTGCCCCCTTTGATGGAGGACTCACTTGAGCCTGAGTGCCTGGGACCCTTCTGTGGAAAACTGCCAGGGCTTCCCAACACAAGGAAACTCAGACTCCTTCCTTCTTGAAAACAAAAGGCCCTGAATCTAGATATTCTCAAACATTACATGCTCAGGGCCTGGGCTCTGGGGACTTCCCTGATGTACCTCCTTCTTCAGCATTCACAAGGTTGATGTCCCCCTGTGATACTCAGTTTCCCTGTAACTGCCTCGTCAGGAAGCCTCCCTGGACCACCTCCTCCAACACTGCTGATACCTCCATCAGTCATGTGCCTTGCTCCCTCCTGGTGCTTTTCATCACGGTACTTACTACAGCTGGATGCTCTGACTGGTTGACCTGTATGTTTACCAACTATACAGGCATTGAGTGATGTCTGTTTTTCTTGCCCTGTGTCTTCAGTGTGTCACAAAGGAGACGCTCACTGTGGACTGTGAGAAGAGCAGTTCTAGGTTGGGAAACACCTTTGCCTTCCAAGAGGCTTACGTGGGGTTTCTCAGGCTTGGTACTATTGACTTGCAGGGCAGCAGCTACATTTATTATCAAGGTGAAGAACCATTCTGTGCACAGCATGATGTTTAGCGACATCCCCTTGCCTTCGCCAACTAAACACCAGGAAGATGTCCCCTCCCCCAGAGTTGTGATAACCAAACCCCTGTGCGGATGTTGTCACATGTCCTCTGGGATAAACAATGAAACATCTGCCTCCTTTTTGGGGAGAAGAGCTTTTCTGGGCTTTCAAGCCAGGTTTCTTCCTGGAGACTGCAGTTTTCAAGGGTTCCCTGGGTAGATGGGAGCTCTGGGTAGGAGCTGGTGACAGGCTGCTGTTTGGGAATACAAAATGACATCCAGGGTTGCATGATTGTCCCTTTGGAACTCACTGAAAGAAGAGGGTAGATACTCACCCTAAAACAGAAGAGCAGAGAGAGAGGCCTCATGACCTCAGCATGTAGAACCCCATGCTACTCAGATGAGGGTCACATGTGCAGGAGGACACAAAGACCAGACGGGCAGGCAGTAGACCTGAGGGGCTGCAGAGGACAAAGGCAACCCCTCAGTCCAGTGTGGGAAAGTGGCTTGCCCCAAGGATGGTTGCCAAAAAAACAAGAACTGGTGGCTCAGGCCTGTCATCCCAGCTAATCAGGAGTCTGAGGCAGGAGGATGGTTGCCAGATTTGGGGTCAAGCATTGCTGAGCCATCTCACAGGCCCCTCAAATAATGTTCTGGAAACAAAAGATACCACAAGCAAAAAATTAATATGCAGGTGACAGAATAGACATCCAAAGTCCAGGAGGGATTTAGCATCTAGATCATGTAAAGGAGTCCTGAAAACCAACAACTACAGTGACAAGCAGTGCAACAGCCACTAAACAACCACAACCACAACAACAACCACCAGCCATAATAACAACCACAACCATAACAACAACCACAGCAACAACCACCAGCCATAATAACAACCACAACCATAACAACAACCACCAGCCATAATAACAACCACAACCATAACAACAACTACCAGCCATAATAACAACCACAACCATAACAACAACCACAGCAACAACCACCAGGCATAATAACAACCACAACCATAACAACAACCACATCAACAATCACCAGCCATAATAACAGGCACAATCGTAACAACAACCACAGCAACAATCACCAGTCATAACAACAGGCACAATCATAATAGCAACCATGATAATAACCACCAACCACAATAGCAACCATAATTATAACAACACCCACAGTAACAACAATCATCAAGCATAACAACCACAACCATAATAGCAACCACAGCAACAACCACCAACTACAATTAAAACAAAACCACAATCATAACAACCTCTCAACCATAGCAACTACAAACAAAACTAAAACAACAGCCATCACCAACACAACCACAACAGTCACTACCACTACAACAACCATAATCATAACAACCACAGCAACAGCCACCAAACAACCATAACAACAACCACAGTAATAACAACCATAACAACATCCCCCAACCATAACAACTACAACTACAGTTATAACAATAGCTACCACCACCACACTGTAACAACAACCACTACTACAACCATAACTATACCCATAACAACAGTCACCACCATAGCAGCCATAACAATAACAACTACCACAACAGCCACCATCACCACAACAGCTCTCTCTCTCTCTCTCTCTCTCTCTCTCACACACACACACACACACACACACACACACACACACACAAACTCAAATGCATATAAGCAAACCTGAGATTCATCAATAGTCAATGAAAGGGACATTTCAGTGCACTGAGCTGTTTGCTGGCACACACTAGACATTCAACGCTCCACTCTCTGGATAAAAGCTAATGGAGGCCGAAGGACTCCCAGCACTTTAGAGGAGATGCCACCAGAGGCAGCTGAGTCTGGGTGCACTTAGTCAAGAGTGTACACACCCTGGGACACATTGTTCCAAAGGCTCAGGAAGCGTGTTTACAAAGTCACCGTGTCAGGGCCGGGGACAAGGCTCAGTGGATAGAGCACTGGGCTCATTTCTAGCGCTGTGTAAATCAGGTGTGGTGGTGCATGCCTGGAATCTCAGCACTTAGGAGGCGAAGGCAGGAGGATCAGAAATCCAAACTCATCCTTGGCTATGTAACCAAGTTCAAGGCCCACCTGGGCTACAAGAGACCTTGGAAAGAAATCATGTCACTGGTCTGTGAGCAGATATGAGAAGGTGCTCTCAGGTGAGTCCACTAAGTACTAGGACTACAAGTGACTTTGAGGGACTGGACAGTGAAGAAGGACACTCAGTGTGAGGACTGGTGAACCCACATCAATGTGAGTAGCTCTCCTGAAGATAAGAAACAACCTTAGAGTGTCATAGCACAGAGCACATGGGTAAGGTGAAGTGTGCCTAATGGTGCCGGCAGGTAAACCTGTAATCCCGTACCCCTCAGAAGGACAAGACAGAGAGCATGGCGAGTTCAAATCCAGCCTGGGCTACATAGTCAAATATTTTCGGGGGTTGGGGGGAGGCAAAACAAAACAAATAAAAAACAAACAAACAAAAAGTATGAGTTGAGATATAGACACAAAACACCATTTTTTTCAAGATTTCACACAGAAAAAACAAAACATAAAATCCACTAACCAGGAAACAAGTGCTGCCCATGAGGTAGGAAGCAGTCTCGGGAGTGGGAGGGTAAGGAAGGAAGAAATGAAGGGGACTGGGGGAACGGCAGTCGGTAAAGTGCCTCCCTCACAAGTACAGGACCCGAGTCCAATCTCCAGAACCCATGGAATCAAACAAAAACAAAAAACCAGCATTGAAATGTATGTTTAAAACCCCAAGGCTGAAGCAGCAGAGTCAGGCAGAGCCCCAGGGCTCACTGGCCAGCCAGCCTAGCCTATTTGGTGAGTTCCCAGCCAATGAGAGAAGCTATCTCTAAACAAATAAATAAAATAAAAAAGGTGGATGCCGCCTAAGGAACATACCCAGGGCTGACCTCTGGCCTCCATATGCATACACACACATGAGCGCACGCATCCTGTATTATTCTAGAGAAACAGAAGCAATAGGACACACATCTTATATATTAAAATAGAAGACATTTTATATATCAAGTTGTTAAAAAATGTATTTAGCCGGGCGGTGGTGGCGCACGCCTTTAATCCCAGTACTAGGGAGGCAGAGGCAGGCAGATCTCTGTGAGTTCAAAGCCAGCCTGGTCTACAGAGCAAGATCCAGGACAAGCACCAAAACTACACAAAGAAACCCTGTCTCGAAACCAAAAACCAAAAAAAAAAAAAAAAAAAGTATTTAACCAGCTTACTCTGAATATAGTCCCAATACCATGAGGCTGAGAATCTGGTAGTTTCTTGGTCCTTGAGGTGTCTCAGCAGTCCCAAGCCGGCACCAAAAATCTGGAGGTTCCTGGAGACTTAAAGGTCCTTAGTTCATGATGGACGCCTGAAATCGCTGGTTCTGATACCAGTGAGGAAATCATCATCGTCGTCGTCATCATCATCATCAGCATCAGCAGCAGCAGCAGCAGCAGCATCCATCAGCTCTGCAGCAAGAGGCAAGGCCAAGGCAACAAAAGGCGAGGCATCTTCCTTCCTCCACACCCTTCAATCTGGGCTGCTACCAGTCGGTGCTGCCCACATCAGGGTAGGTCCTCCCACATCAATTAAGAAAATTAAGACAATTCCTCAAGTGAGGCTCCCTGCTCAGGTGATTTTAATTTGTGGCAAGTACACATGTGCGCGCGCGCACACACGCACACGCACACGCACACACACACACACACACACACACACACACACACACACCCCACGGCACAATAGGGAAGGAAAACGTCTTGTATTTTCTATGCCGATTTGTTGTGGCCAGGGAGTGGCTGTTCCTCATTTGCCCTTGACCTCTAACCTGGACACACTCTGCCTGGAAACTCCTCTTATCTCCCCAAAGCTGACTCCCTTCTTACCTGTGGAGTCTGTCTTCCACCTCTGAGACGCCCTCCCTGACCACCCAGGTAAAGCTCTCAGTATAGCCCGCCCCTCCCCATCACTGAACTCAGGATTTCCTGTTAGCACTCATGATTGGCTGAAACCTTCTCGTTAAAAAATAAATAAATAAAAATACGTTTAGTTGCTTGTCTTGCTTCCATGGTGGGCAAGCTGAGACGAAGAGGGAGGGACTGAACCAGATCTATCAGGCCAGAGCAAGGAAAAACCCTGGGAAGGCTTTCCTCCAGTGACAGCCACATTCAGTTCAGCAAAGGGAACATTCATTCTGACAGCCGTGGCTATCATCGTGACCTGTGGGAGGCAGAGAGGGATGGGGGAGCTCAGAGCAGAGGTCACGGGGAGAGAAGGCAGTGGCAGCTTGGGCTGCGTCATGATGATGGAACTGAGGAGAGTGGATAGGTTTCTACAAACAGTTCTGTGTGATGCAGTTGGGAAGGAGGCCAAGAGTGGAAAGGGGAAGGGCCGTCCGTATCTTGGGGCACTAAGTCTCATTAAGTTTTCCCTCTCCAGGGCACGGCTCTCTTCTGCATCCCTGCCACCTTAATACTACACAACAGATACGTATGTGAGAGAACGAACCAGTAAAGAACAGGCAGGGCCCAAGTGTGAGCGATTGGAGGGAAGCCTGGCCCTTCTGCATGCAAACCTTCCCACCCCACAGTCACTCCGAGATGGCCTGATAGAAGGTGCCTGCCCCACTGCACAGAGTGAGGCAGGGCCGGGGGATCCCTTGGTTGAGCCTGACACTTAGCTCTTCAGAAGCAGCCGTCCAAGCTGGCATGAATGGGTGAGTGACTGATCAGGCCATATAAGCTGAGTCCTCACTGCCCCCTCCTCTGGCCTTACGCTTCTCCTCAGCCCCAACCACCCACCTGCCCACTCGGTTCGCATGTTTGTTTGTGGATAGACATACTGTCCACCTTCTTCTAGAACCTAGAATTTGATTTTAGAATCTGCAGTGGAATCCAAGCAAGGGCCATTAAAACTGCCCCCTGCCTTCTCCAGCTCTCCCATCCTCCCAGCATCTAGCTTGTCTGACATAGTCCCCTACTTCTGTTTACAGTCGCTCTCCCGGCAGCCCCGCGACCCGGAGGCTGGTTGTCTTCGCAGCTGAATCTACGCGCAGAGCCTGCATGCAGTAGGCGCTCAGCCTCGTGGTGGCCGGGACGCAGACAGCCCGCCCGGGTGGGCCCCGCGGCCTGGGCCAGGGCCCGGCCGGGCACGGAGGGGTTAAGCCGCGCGCGCTTCCGACCCGCAGGTGGCGCCGTCCCGCCTCGGTGCCACTCGCCGCGCTCCGAAGTGCGGGACAGAATCGCAGCGAGCGCGGAGCCGAAGCTCAGCCCGACTTGTTGATCTCGCGCAGGCAGCCGCGGCCGCCGCCGAGCCGAGCCGGAGCCCGAGGTGGAGGCGGAGGCGCCGCCGATCGCCCGGGCCGCGCAGTCTCCGCGCCCCGCAGAGCGCCCCGCCCGCGCCCCGCAGCCCCGGTGCCGCCCGCCCGCCCGGCCGGCCGGCCGGGGTAGGCCCAGCCCGGCCCCGGGACCGCCGCTGCCGCGGGCGGGGGCGCGGGCGGCCGGCGAGATGCGCGCGGCGCGGCCCCGGGAGGCGGCCGCCCTGGGGGTGAGTGTGGTGGGGGCGGCGAGGGTCCACCCCGGGGCGGGGGAGGGGGGCGGGGCGTGCGCCCGGCGTGCTGTGGGCCCCGGGAACCCCCCGAAATCACCGGTGCGTGGCGGGAGGAGGGCACGCTCCGAAAGGCCAGAAGATTCCGCTGGTTTCCCCGCCTCCCACCTCCCCCACCCCTTCCCTCCCGAGCCCGGGCAAAGGCGCAGAACCCGGAGTTATAAAAAGCCATCGCCGGGAGGAGCGAGGAGGAGGAGGAGGAGGAGGAGGAGCGGGAGGAGGGGGAGGAGGAGAAAGGAGGGGGGAGGGGGCGGGAGGGGAGCATCGAGCAGGCGGATCCGGAGGACTCCGCGCCCCTCCTCCGCTAGGGTGGCAGGGGGGCGCACAGGGAGGTGCAGACCCCGCTGGCTTGGTTCCTTCGACCCTCACCTGGTCTCGGGAGCGACCTCAGGTCCTGATGTTGTGAGGAGTGGGGTCGTCCCAGGACAGGGTTGCCTGGTGACCTCCGACAGGTGGGCATCTGGTAGCCTCCACAATCCCCACTCGATCCAAAATCTTTTAAGATTTAGAAAAAGCAAGCCCAATGCCATCGCTATGCTCCCACCCCAAATCCTGAGCATCTTGGGGTGGGAGGAGATGAGAACTCACTAAAAAGAGAAAAAAAGAAAGTTCTCCCTGCCTCTTTCGGCCTCCCCATTGCGGGGCCAGGCTGGGCATTCCATCCCGAGACCCGCAGAGCAGGGAGTTTCAGCACTCGACGGGGCGGACAGCGCCCCGGGCGGCGGGATTGCGCCAGGGCGGGGGTGGGGCTTCCCGGGAGCCTCTTGGGGGCCTCTCCTGCCGGGAGGGCCACCCCTCCCTCCGTCCTGGGGTGGGGCTGACTTCAGCACCGGCGGGAGGGACAGCGGCCATCAGTCCTCTCCCCCCCGCCCCCCCCCCCGCCATCCCCCCCCTGAGCCGCTTAAGCCTCGGGAAGGTCAAGGCCGGTGGGGACCCTGGGGGGGAGGAACCTCGCAGCGAGGTTCGCTGACCCGCGTCCGCTTTCGCTTTCTGCCTTGCAGCCGTCGGGATGGAGGTGAGACGGCAGCCGTGACGCCCGCCCTCGAGCACCCCTGCACCGCAGCGGCCCGCAGCGCTCCCCGCCCCCCGCCCCCGCAGCAGCGGGCCTTGCCGTCGAGTGACAGCGGCCTGGGGGGGCAGGGGGGGCGGGGGCGGCCGGACCAGCGATGCCGGCGGGCATGACGAAGCATGGCTCGCGCTCCACCAGCTCGCTGCCGCCCGAGCCCATGGAGATCGTGCGCAGCAAGGCGTGCTCACGCCGGGTGCGCCTCAACGTCGGGGGCCTGGCGCACGAGGTGCTGTGGCGCACTCTGGACCGCCTGCCCCGCACGCGGCTGGGCAAGCTCCGGGACTGCAACACGCACGACTCTCTGCTCCAGGTGTGCGACGACTACAGCCTTGAGGACAACGAGTACTTCTTCGACCGCCACCCGGGCGCCTTTACCTCCATCCTCAATTTCTACCGCACGGGCCGGCTGCACATGATGGAGGAGATGTGCGCGCTGAGCTTCAGCCAGGAGCTGGACTACTGGGGCATCGACGAGATCTACCTGGAGTCCTGCTGTCAGGCCCGCTACCACCAGAAGAAGGAGCAGATGAACGAGGAGCTGAAGCGCGAGGCCGAGACTCTGCGGGAGCGGGAGGGCGAGGAGTTCGACAACACGTGCTGCGCCGAGAAGAGGAAGAAACTCTGGGACCTGCTGGAGAAACCCAACTCGTCGGTGGCCGCCAAGGTGAGTCTGGGGTCTGCTCCCCTCATGGAGGCCGACGCTGCCTCATGGAGGCCGACGCTGCGGCTCCCGACTCCTCACAATGAGTACTAGTGAAAGACAGGGACTCCGAGTGAGTTCTCCAAGGACCACCACTCTTGTACCCTCCTCATGTGTCACGAGATACTCCCCCGCAATGATTCAGTGCTGTGCACCTCCACTTCGTTGGGGGGAAATGGTTTATAAGACTCTAGAATGCTACAGCCGCCATGAGAGCAGAGGCGCGTTTTGCTGGGTAGAGTCTAGTGTCTTGCCCTTCAGGCCCCGAGTCCAGGCCGGAGTAGCTAGCCCTGCATTTGTAGTATCTAGCCCCGTATTATAGCCCCACTCTGCCGCTAAAGAAGGGTATGAACGCAGCCTACAGTCACGCGTGGTGAAGGCTGAGGCACACACGGGTATTTTAAGAGATGACAAAAGATAGGGAAGTCTAGTGGCAAGGACAGCCTGCCCAAAGGCTCAGGGACTGTGGGTGAGGGGCTGGTTGGCTCCTTGTTTATGTACTTGCAGTGTGGTGCAGTTTCAGTCGGCTATTGGAGGAGGATGTGGATTTCCAAATCAAAGCAGAAGCCTAGAGAAAGAGGCAGGAGTGGATGCGACCACACAGAGTGGGCTGCTGGAGACCACACAGGGCGGGCTGCTGGGCATAGGTGGAAGCCTCGGGAGCCAGGAGGGGCTCGGGGTAAGAGCCTGGGCAGGTGCAATTCCTCCGAGTCAGGCTGGCACCCGAGAGTGTCTGGAGGGTGAAGGCTGTCTCACATGGCCTGAGTGTTGGGTACCAGGAGTAAAGGACAGCGCAGTGTGTTCAGGGCTGCACGGGAGGTTGGGAAGGGGCCCAGAAAAGAGATGTGTGGGAATCCAGAGAGATCAAGTTCGGAAAGAGACAAGGACGTCTCTAAGAGTGGAGCCCAGGAAGCAGGAGCAGAGGCGAAGGACTGAGATTGCCTGTTCAGCCGGCCATAGTTTAGTAGCAAGGCCTGGCTCTTGGCCAGCCTGACCTCTCAGTGTGGAGTCTTGGTGGCTTAGCTGGCCCCTCTGTAGGGACTCTGGGGTTATTTCCAGAGACTGCAGTAGACACAGCAAAGGATGTCTAGTGGGACGATAGGAAGAGCCTACAATCATTTTCTGTCACCTCTGGGCTCTGAGGACATAGAGGCCCCTGGGCCTGGTCCTCCTCCTGGAAGACTCTGACCATAATCCTTCCCCAGTTTCCGTGTCCAGAAAGCCTCCCTCTAAGATGGAAGGTACTCACCCTTAGCCGGCTTAGGATCAACAGACTTATTTTGCTATTTCTAGGCCTGACACAAGTTCCCCCACTGTTGAGCCCATTGAGACCCAGGCAGGCCCCTCCTTCCTCACCTGCCCCGTCCTTAAGACGATAGATCCAGGGACAGGAAGTGGGGATTTGCCCTCCCCAAGAAGAAACAGGCAAAGGACCGTGTTTGAGTTGGCATCTGGCTGCAGGGCATAGGCGGGCGTCTTGCGGACGTCTTGCAGGAGGCAGTGTGTGGGAATGAGCAGTCTCCTCTTTCTCCACTTAATCGGCTCACCCGGACAGCATCTTGACCTCACTGTGATCCCGGGCTGGGCTGTCAGCTCACATTCTGGCAGTTTCTGCAGCCAGAGCTGAAATGGGAAGGCTCACTGGCTGTCATTATAGAAATGTTGACAGCCACTGAGCAAATACAAAGGCAGGGCTCAGAGAAGTGGAGCGATTTGCCTAAGGTCACGAAGCCCACATCTACAAGTAGCCAGAAAGGTACCCCTCAGTGAAGTTTGGAACACCCTGTTCTTTCTGTGGTGACTGGGGGCCACGGATGCCTCCCAAGCGCCTTCTCTCACTTTTCTTCCCACAGTCCCTTCCCCAGCAGCCCAAGGTGCAAGTCAGATTGCATTATTCATGTTTGAAACCCACGGAGGTTTCTATCACATTCGGCATGAACTCCACATGCCACCGTGCATCTGAGGTCTCGACTCTGGCCTCGGAACTCATCTCTTCTGCTCTCTTCTGGCTCGTGTGGTCCCAGTTCCACTGGCTTCCTTACTGTTCCCAAACAGTGATCTGTCCTACCCCAGAACCTTTGCACTTACTTTTCTGGCTGCTGACAGTTGCCTTCCCCAGATCATTCCATGGGCCCCTTCTCTCCTTGTCCCCATTAGCTACAGTCCCTGCTCTGCTGTTTCCCCCTGGAGACCTCCTTGATACCTGTCACCTCCCCGTACCCTGTTACCTCATGCAGTATCTTTCCTGCATGAGCTTTAAACTGTTTGAAATCATATTTGGTCCACATGCTTCTGTTCTGCACCCACAAGGATGTATCATACACACTGCTGTGTTCCTAGCATACATCATGGTGCCTGGTTTAGAGGGCTCCGAATAACTATATGTAGGATGGAGGGGTGTGGGGGGGTGTAGATGGATGTTTGGGTGAATGGTGAAAGGATGGATGGATGGATGGATGGATGGATGGATGGATGGATGGGTAGATAGATTGGTAGATTGGTGGGTGGATGGATGGATGGATGGATGAGTGGATAATGGATGAACAGGTAGATGGATGGATGGATGGATGTATGGATTGGTAGATGGTGGATGGATGGGTGGGTGGGTGGGTGAGTAGACGATAGATGGATGGATGAATGGATTGGTAGATGAGTAGATGGTGGATGGATGGGTGGGTGGGTGGGTAGATGATGGATGGGTGGATGGATTTATGGATTGGTGGATGAATAGATTGGTGAATGGATAGGTGGGTAGATGGATGGGTGGATAGGTGGATGGATATATCAAGCAAGCAATCAGGCACTGACTATCTCAGGGTCCTGGGTCCTGTCAGCCACTCCTTTCTCACAGCCCTCCTGTGGCTCCTAAGTCTTTGCTGTCTCTATCATCCGCACCTGGCCCACCCCATCTGACAAGCTCCAAAGCCAAGCCTGTTAGCATGATGAGGCTTGGGGGAAGGGTTCTCAGAGAACACGCAGGCTGAGGGCCACATGTGGAATCATTT